AAAGTTTGATGAAGATTAGACTAGACATAAGGTGTCCACAAGAGTGGTCAGGGAATGTTCCAACGAGAAGTCACTGGAACAATGTGAAAAGAAAGAAAACAATTAATTGATTAAATTCATTTATTTCGAATTGATTTATTCTTCGTCCGAAATGCAGCCGCTATTTCTGGCAAGAAACACTGACTGTTTTACCGTCTTCCAGAAAAAGGCCGGGTCCCCAAACTTAAACCCACTCTGTTTAGAATGGGAAAGAGTGAGTGAGGCCCACGACAAACAAGACGCTACAGAAGGGTCTGCCACGTTGCGCCCCTGGCCGCGGAAGCCCTCCCGGTGCAGTCCGGTGCAAGGAACAGGTGCGGTCGGCCAGACTACTTTTGGTGTCGCGCCTCCCAAGAGCGGACCACGACTCCTATCGAGGCAATCTGGGCCGGCCGTAGAGGGGCCGACTTGCCAACGTTATGAGCCCCCTGGCCCCTTAAGCCCATGTCAAAAGAGCTTGTGACGCTTGTGCAGCCTCACTCTTAGGAGATGAGCCTGAGAGCGCTTCTAAAGGCATTGATCAAACGAGAGGCCGACTCTGCGTACCTGCACTGCGTGGATTGCATGCTGCGGCGTTGTGAGTTAACAATGTCTTGGCCATAAATGATGAACTGCACGAGGGAAGAATTAAAACTGTAGAATTGGAGTTCATGTCTCGCTCAAAAGGCAGTGGCTGGTAAGCATTCCCGTGACTTTTAGCATATGCACCGAGCATCCGAAGACTTGGAAGCGACCTGCCACGCTGACAGCGCTTCAAGATAGCTATCACATCGTAAGCGAAAGGAATATGAAGGCTTGCTAACACCATGCAGTTGCTCGTAGTTGTTCGGCAACCTTTATCGGCAAATAAAATATCCAGTTCAGCCTTCAGCGAGCCGGGTAGAGACCCGGTAACGGTCCGGGACCTTGCCCGAGACTCATTTTATGAGCCCCTCGGAGGTGAACACCGTGCCTTGCTGCTGCATTGATTCACAGCCGTTGGAGTTCCGGTGGAGGTAGCTCAGGTGGAGATAAGGATGTTGGTGATATGTCGGGACATTGCAGCCCGTCGTGCACGGTGTTCTATTGTGAGCATCTCTGGAGACTCCTTGTAATGCGTGAGGATCAACATCCTGCCATCCCAATTGTACTCCCAGCCTGGCTTGCCAGTACATCTTGGGCTTCCAAGGGGTCTGGGTAGCGCTTGCAGGTAGCCCGCGAGCTATTCGTTCCCAGTGCCTCGGTCCTGGCCCACCATTCCCGTCTGACAGCACCGACGTGCCAGAATCAAGCTTGGCTTGTGTAGAGCCAGGTAATGAATCCCAAATCCTCATTCCAGAGAAATTTAGGTCGAATGTTAGTCCAGAAGCACAGATGTGAGCTATCAACGTTGAGTGCTCCAAAGCAGTGGTTCCGGGGGCTCATCATCCCAACCAGCATGGCGGGTCAAGAGGCGGAGTGCACACTTTCCCAACTCTGGCGATGGAGGATGACAATCTTAGGGGCGGGAGGCCGTCCCGGGACCGTGGCTCTTTCATGGGTTTGGGGTCAAGGTTTCAAGGGTTGAGAGAAAATGGAAATGAAAAAAAATTAGAATTTAAAGAATTTAATCATTTATTGCGAGAGAATACAATCGAAAGTCGTTAATGAGATTTATTATGATGAGGAGCGTTTGAAGTCGCCCAAACGGTCATGATGCTCAAGGTTGATAGTGGAGAAATCGGGTGAGCTGTGCATGGAGACGTTGATTTGCAGCGCACTACGCTGTACGTCTGTCCCGCCAGGTGCAGCACCATTGCCAATAATTGGTTCCCGTCCACTGGGACGACCAAGGGGAAAGGGGATTCCCTTTGAAGACCACACAGGCATTGCGGAAGCCAGCATCCTAAGGAGACCCACGGGATCACCATTCAGGTTCGGTGAAAAAAGAAAGAGAAGAAGATAAACGGTAAATGAGATGTGGAAGCTTGCTTCCGACGGGGAGATAATATGAGGCTGTCGAGTCTCGAAACTGTCACCGCGTAGTGATCAGTGTTATTGATGCAACCGAATATCAAAATATCTTGAGACCACGGCGAAAATAGGTCAATGTAGAAACAAAGAACGTGCAATCTCGCGAAAAGATTCGAAGGGTATACTCGCACCTGACGATCCTAAGGCTATTGCTAGAATTCGTATAAGCAGACAGACTTGTGGTAAGGTGCACCTGTGATGTCTCAGTCCCAATGTTTAAAGACCACAAGCCTATTGTCAGCGATGACTTATCAATACATGGCATGTGTATTTCCTGATCGAGCAGTCGCAGGCCAAATTTGTCTGTAGACATGCGGTCCTCGAACCGCTTCTCATGACTTACGAATCCTGCAGACGGCACAAGAAACTATGGGGAGTAGACAGAACCTTGGAAGCACTGACGCGACGTTGCTCGTCGCCGTTCGGTCCGTGTGCATCAATGCTCACCGTATGACACGTGTGATATGTAAAGCAAGCATGTATCTATGGGTGGTGGTCCATGCTGAAGAGACACACAACGCGTCCCAGAGTCGTGCAGGTGATGGCTCTCGTCATTTCGCTGCTCTCCCGTCCCCCAGATTCCCCATTCCCTCCAGATTTGTGTGGTGTTCTGCTGTACGTACATATATGCTGACAGGACGGGCTGGCCCGCCGCGAGTTGCAACGAGACGCTCCTCTTGCAGCGTCCAAGCGTCCCGGTGTGAATCCGCAAGGGAACGAGCCGCCAAATCAATGCCGTCAGAAGAAAGGGAAGAAGCGAGGATCGATTAATTCTCCTAACCTGCAGCTTACGCGAGGTCTGATGAGCAGCCCCAGAAAAGAGGACTGGCTGCTGATCAGCTGCTCACGTATGCCCATGAAGTCGCCTGACGGTCACGGCACTATCTGTGTAAATCCTCATTCACTCACTGACCACCGAGTAATTCTGAATTCGAGGTGGGATGACGGTCGATACTGCGCCAGAATCCAGATTCCAAGCTCCCCAGCAGGAGCGTAACGAGGATTGCGGCAGAGCTAGCACCTGCAACCCGATGACGACAGCGCTGATCGCCTGGCCGCCGCTTCTGGGAGCGATTTGCGTGGAGGGCCCCCCTGGGTACCCCCAGCTGAGTCCCCAGGTGACCCCGCCGGGCCAGACACAAGCCTGACAGTCGGGAGGCCACGCGAGGACAGCTTCAGGGCAAGATTGACCTGCCAACGTGGATGTCGAAGTTGGATCTCGATTGACCGGTGATTGTCTCTGTATAGCCCTCTACGATGATGAAAAAGGTCGCGAGTACTAGGGAAACAGAACCACGGAATCTGGCCGAGTAGCAGGGACATCAGGGCCATCGCTCGGTGCATTGTCGCAGTCTTTGTCCCCATTGACGTAAAGCGTAGTAAAGCCAGGCGGACAGACTAGGGCCCTAGCCAGCTCGGTGCAATTTCATGTCGAGCGTTTCGAAGCTGCAAAGGAAGGCTTCGCGAATGGTGGCTTGCAGCTCATCCCGGGGCAGCGGTGAGGTTACGGCCTAGCTCTCCCTCCCTCCCTATCTCCTCGCTTTGGGCTTCCCCCACAGCTCTCCGGCCGGGTGGAACAGGACTGCTTCCCCGGGGGGCTCTTCAGCGTGGCCCCTGCTCACCGTGGCTGACATGGGGGAAGTTGGGAGAGGGCCATCGTCGCGTCCTCATTCGCACGCTCGCTATTCCAGTGCCCCTGGACCGTTGGTGACAAGGGCTCAATAGTGAATGTCTGCGCCGTAGGCTACCTGGTAGACCAGGGCATACTGGCAGGTATTCCAACACAACGGCAGACCGGTCAAAGCAGGTCCCAGGCGATAAACACCCCCCAGACTCCCCTAGCTACCCCATCATCCATCCATCCATCGACCCGGCGGAGAGGGAGCGACGGGGCTGAGGTGCCTCCAAGCGAGCAACACAGTGGATCTCACCGAGAAGGCAGGTGGGAGTGAATGCAAGAGAAGAATCGAGGGGATCGCTCTGACGGAAAAGCGGGCGATTGGTACCGTCCCCGGGGGTGTGAGAACTGAGTGAGTAACTATCGGGTGGTTAATCATTTAATTAAATTATTTCGATTTAATCATTTAATCAGAGACTAGAGTAGAATTAAAGATAAAATCGATTATTGTACTCTTGAAAATCAGAAGAGGTACAGTACCTCACGAATCAATTGCTCCGGGGATCAACATGCCTCGAGAATAGAATTTCTATTCTGGCGTCAATCACAGGCACAGAGTTGTGAGTTAATCGTGGATCGTAGTGTTCGAGTGTGTCTTAGTTTGGAAACAAGAGACGTGACATAATTTTTATGATTGTGCATGACACACCCGCACAGCGCCTATCTACTGCATAAAGTTCAGCACTGCGCGAATGGTAACGCCCTGCTAGGCGCCAGCCCTCTTCCCAGAGCGCTTCGCCTAACTGTCACCGTCCCAGGTGTGTGTGTGGTATTGCGTGTGAGGTGTGCACCCCTTCTGCACTAACAATAACAACACCACTTCACACTCATCACACCCACCACCAGGTAGCTGGCAATGCGACAACATATTTGGAAGCGCGGTGTTGCCGCCGGAAAATGAAGTGCACAGCACTTGTGGCTCTTGACGCAATATCTCGACTTTTTCGAGACGGTTTCGGCAAGTCACTGGGTACATGCGATGTCTACTGTCGATTAGGTTGCGGTAAACACATCACAGCTATCTTGATAGGTCGCGGGATGATGTCATTGCGTTTGGTGATAGACGTCCGCTAGTCGAAGTCGATAGATAGTCTTACAACAACACATGACAGTTGCCGCGCTTAGCTTAGCTGATTTGGTAAGCCCCTTGCTGCATGAATCACGAGGAGACCATCACCGTCCTCATCTCGAGACGTTATCGTGCCCTGAGGAAAGCGTCAAGGTGCTATGCATCCATCCCCTGATGTCTCTTGAGTGGCCCATTCCTGGATAAAGGGGTTCGTTCACATTACTATGGCTTTTTCGTCGCCTCACCGCCGCCCCCTATCCTCCTATACTTCCTCTTATCCTTCCGGCTCATGAGCCCCCTATCTCTCGTTCCGCGTCCGCCCTCCCAGAACCCCTTTCCGCGCTTGCCAATCACAGACCGCCCGCAGAACGTGCAGCTCTCCACGGCGTAGTTCTGCTCGCGCGAGCAGTAGCCGCAGATCATGCGGTTTGCCCACTCGTTGATGTGTTCCTCGGCCGCGTCATGACACTTGTCACACGGGTAGACCTTGCTGCAACACGAGAACCGGAACCAACGGTAGCTTTTCTTGTAGTGAGGACATGCGCCGCGCTCGGGCAGTGGCTCGCCCGCGTGCAGGCCCAGCTTCTCCTGGCGCCGCCGCGGACCAGACGTCGGCGGCAGGGGGAGGCCGGAGCCAGCCGTGTAGGCGAGGAATCTGACGTCTGGGATCTTGAACGTGAAGCGGCTGTGGCACTCGCGGCACACATTTGTAGTCGTCTCGCCGCGGACAGAGACTAGCCCCTGAGACGGCGTAGAGCACTTTGCGCATGTAGGTACGAAGGTGCTGAGGCAAAGAAAGATGTTAGTCACATAGTCTGATGAATGCGTGGTCGAGGTGATCAGGGGTATCCACGAACCTGGGGAGTAGATCTGCGACTGTGCAGCCCGAGACATCAATGAAGCCAGCACGCGTTGAGTTCTGATGTACAAGCTCTGGCCTGAACTTGACGGTGAAAGCAGTCCCGCACTTCCTGCAGCTGCCGTTCTTCTCCGCGCCGTCCTTCAGCCCGCCAACCTCGTTGATTGTCTTACAGCGCTCACATTTGACGCTGAGGCTCATGATCGCTACTTGGAGAAGTTCGATGCCGTGCAGTTCCACTGACGGAAACGATATGGCCGTGCCCCTCTCCACAATTTGAGCAGGTAGTGAAGAGCTCAAGGGCATGGCTTCCAAAGTGGCTGCGCCGCCATCCTCGCTATCGGATGTGCTCAAATCAGAAGATTCCTCGCCATCTGTGTCTGATTCGTGGCCATAGGACCATTCAGGGGGTCTCGGAATAACCTGAACTTGACCTCTTCCTTCCGTGATAGCAGGCTTCTGCGTTGATTGCTCTTCTTGAGTAGTGGGCTCCGAAGCCTTCTCTGTAGCTGCCCGGGCTTGCGTCTCTCGTTGAATGATCGCCTGTGCTTGCTTTGACAGGACGTGGATGTTCTGTGTAAGGTAGTTGATATGGCTCATGAGTGACATATCCTTCTTTTCTGCCGCCTTTGACATGAACAGCTCTTCCACACCTTCAGCCGTCTCAGACTCAACTTCGTTCAGGAGGACGCGTAGGGCCTGTAGGGGATATAGGAGAGGGACGATGAGTTGAAACGACTTGACTGTCTGGAGTCCAGAGGGGAGGTCGGACCGACGTTTCGGTTCAATGGGTAGCGTATAGATGATCCCGTCACTAGACTTGTGATAATGCGGTAGCCGACCCATTCTGGCCTCGAGCTGTCGTGTCTCCTGAGCTCTTCTCTCCTTGGCGGTAGCAATCTGCTCCTTACTGAAGGACTCTTCAGGAACATAACGCCTCCTAGGCTCTACTGGTAGAGCTTGGGCCAGCGTGGCTGGTTCTGGGGCTGGGGTGTCTTGCTCTACGCCCTCGAGATGTCTTGTATCCTTGTAGATTGTCAACTTGACCGTGGAGGCTTCTTGCTCCGAGAGGAGCGCCTCAAGATTCTTGTCCAGTGCATTCGTCAATGATAGCAATGTCGCCCCCTTGCGTTCCTGGACAAGTCTATCCCAGCCCCTTTCCACATTGACGGCAAAGCCCCGTGGAATGTCCTTGTTTTTGACGGACAAGGACGGTAGTTGTGATCCCTTGGGATAACTCTTTGGAACTCTCAGCTCGCATTTCAAGGAATCGAGTTCAAAAGGGAAGTCTGGATCTGAAGGTGATAGGTTGAACACGAGCAAAGTAGTACCGTTCTCTACTGTTGATTCCTTCGGCGAGAAGCGTTTTCTGATTTGTCCGATCTGATATCCTCTCGCATCCTCAGTCTGCGCTTTGGGGACCGGCTTCGGAACTACCCGTGATGGCGCAGCTTCCGACACGGCCTGCCGGCGGCTTGACTGGCCGACCGGTGGCGCCGTGGTAGAGATCATGATGAATCGTGAAGACAAAGACTGGCTGAGCAACTGAGAAATCGATGTGATGAGACAACCAAGGAAATCCGTAAGAAACTGTCTGGTATAATATGGCCCACGTCGATTCGGATACGGATCTCGTGCAGAGAGTCACCACGGCTTGCGATGCGGCTCCTCGACTTCAAGTACCAGAGGCGATTCTGATATCAAAATTCTCGGCCTCGGCCCCGTCCCATGGGTGGCAAGCCAATGCGCTTCCAAATTACCGCTAAACGTCTTTGGGAAGACAAAACGTGACGAGTTTACGAGAAAAGTGATGTTCTGTGACTCAGAGCCTTAGGCCGTTTAGATGATTCAAGTTGAATCATCCAACCGGCGTGACATATCTTCTAGATCGCTGATGTAACCGCGCACGGACCACATCTGGCTTGACTTTAAGTGAGGACCATGGCTCTTCACCACCATGCTCACCTTTAGTTCAATTAAGCTACTAAGATTACCTGGTAACATATATCAAAAGCACAGCTACTTGTAGGCTTCAAAGAAACATAGGATTAAGCGAAGTTGCCTTCTTCATCTCTGTCTAATATCGTAAAAATGTTGTGCTGAACCCATTGTATAGGCGCATTGCCATAGCTTGTTCAATGTCCGTCAGAGGGACTTGGGCTCACTTGCATCCACAGCTGCCCACCAGTTCCGATCCTTAAAATGGATTCTTTATATACTCAACCCCCATATATGTGTTTTCAATGCGAAGTCCTCGCTCCTCCGCACCTTCCCACGTGGCAGCCCTGACGCCCTTGGAAACAGCCGTTTAACCAGATTGCGCGATCCTTTCCTCCGATACAGATCCCCCGGTGGCCTGCGGCTCAACCTGGTAGAACAGCCGGCTGCGGGACTGGTCGACTCCATCTCTGCAGTCCGCTTCCTGGGAACCGCAACCAGCGAAGTGTGGGGGTTTGTCTCCTGACGTAGGCCAGGGCCCTTCATATAATGAAGGCCCGATAGAAGCTCTCGGTGAGTTTAGGCTCGCCGACCGATCCCGCGTTCTGGCTCCCGTGACCCTATGGGGCACTCGGCTGCTCGGTGTGGACTGCTCGGTTTCCTTTTTGCCTGAATAACTGCCCTGTGGGGAAAAAGAGATGTCGTCCAGCTGAGCCTCTGGAGAGTAGATAACCTTATAAAATGCCAACTTTAACGTCAGGCTTGATTTGGTTGCTGGAGAGACGGATGGGCAAGCGGAAGATTTGAGCACTTCTGTGGTTCAATAAACCTGATAACCACTCACTGGAGTGGGAGAGCTTATATGAAGTATCGTTTTTCAAGTCCAAGGCTCACTTTAGCCTGGCCGATCTAAGAAACAACCCCCAAAGCCCCACAGTGCCGGTGACGTTATTCCCATGGAGAGGTAGGGGGGAAGGAGCTTGATGACCTCGCTATATCGTGATGGGCAGATCATCTTCGCTACTGCCTACCGTAATAGGCCCATTGGACCTGCCAGGGCTGAAGTGTCTTACTCATCAGATGGGCTCATCTCTATCAGACCGACGCTGCCGGAGTAGCGATGTTGCACGCAATGTGCATAGCCTGTGTTCGTGAATATCGACGTCTTAGTCATCCGCGGTGTCCGAGGGGGCCAAAAAGACATGGCGGCTGAGTATTACCTAAGTAGACGCTTTGCTGGGGCCATTGGCCCATGATTTGAAAAATACGATTGGATAAGGCAGATACACGCCGGCGGCAGGTTGCGAGGCATTTGAAGGTCATCCGTCTGATAACGTACATGCGCTCAGCAGGTATACCACGTACCATCGCAGCGCCTGTCAGAGTCGTGTTGAACAAGGCAGAACATCGATGCGGTCAGGTTTGACAAGGCCAGGACGAGTCTCACCAGATTGATGCCAGACTGCCGGTATAGAAGACTTGAAACATCGCACATCCTCACAAAGTCACTCGACTCTTCATCAAAGGGTCTGTTGCATCGCAGGGAGTGGGCAGCAGCAGATGCCATCTCGCCATCAGCACGCCCCACCAAGCCTGCATGAGGGCGTGGGAGAGGAGGGGTTGTGTGTCCTGCGTAGGCAAGCCAAGCCGTTCCGGTGCAGCTGGTAGGGAGGCATCACGAGAGCCGGACGCCCAGCTACTGCACGCGTGCAAGCACAACGTACGCGCGACGCAATGCAGCCGGCAGTCCTGTATCCTGTATGTATGCATGTGTGTGTATGTGTGTAGGTAGGTAGGGAACAAAGGACCAAATAGAAAAATAGCGAAACCTGGGCAGAGGATGGCCTGCCACGTACAAAGACCGCGGCGAGACGCAGAGGGTCACCAATGGAAGCGGCGAGGCTCACCATGCGGGCACGGCGTGGAGGGCAGATCGACTCGCTCGCGGTGATTGTCCACCTGTTCCGGCCGGACAGCAACACTTCCGGCGAAGAGATGAAGGTGGGCGCGCGTGCTGTCGTAGCTCCTGAAGCTGCCCAACCGCCAGTCGGCGGAGCGGTCACTGGATGCTGATGCCCAGGCAGGCAGGGAGGTAGGCCAGTGCCAGACCAGACCGTATCGTCGGCCATCGATCATCAATCATCGTCAACTCTCACCTTGAGGAGATAACGCAGTGATGTGTCACAGGCCGGTGGGCGACTGCAGGTGCCAGGCCTATGGGAGATGGCATCGATTTCGTATTTGTCCTCGAGACTTGCGGTGGGCAAAGTCAAGATACTGCCATCGTTGGACATGCCATAGAGAGGTCATGGACGCGGTGGATGCCCATTCCCAGCAATTCGTACCGAGCAGCAGGTAGTCAGTCGGTCGGTCGATTGCATACTCTCCACCGATCATTCAGCCTCGGCCGGGATGGTCGCTTGTTTTCGCAGGTGGCCTTACTCACCTGGTTATGGTGTCGCCTTCTTGATGCGCTGGCAGTCACCGCCTCAAGCAGGTGTCGAGCAGGTGACCATTGCTCCGGGGCCTCGATGACTGCCTTGCTAGCTGTACTGCATGAAAGAGGGTGAGCCAGCGAATGACGTCCCAGTAGAGTTGCAGGCTATTTGCTATTTGGGGGTGGTGGCTCCAAGGAGGATGGGTGATGATGGGTGATGGGCGATGGGCGATGGCCAGTGGGAGGGACGGGGACGGGAACGGTAGGATGGATGAGCGGAACGGTCAAGCGCCAGCCAGCAGTACCGTCCACCACCCCCATGTGATGTGATGGCTACTTGATACCAGGAATCTAGGGTCCCTGCCTTGTATCTCATTCCTCTGGAGTACTTCGTGTATATTTTAATTCCAAATTATTTGATTTTATCTTGTTTGATTATTCGACTTCTGGGCTGAATTAAATCACTGCTGGATTTATTGCCATTTTTCAGGACTGGTAGCTGCGTCCAATACGTCCAACGCAGGCCACTTACCCTATCCCGGTCGTTGTTCCGTAGCATACATCTGTATGTAGATGACTAACTTACGCAGATGACTCTTCCTCGGAGAATATTTCAAATGGCCAAACAAACCTGCTCCCATAAAATAAATCAAATAAATCAATAAACGCATTGTTTTAATTCAACTCAAATACTTGCTCGGCCGTTGGGCATCGCAGAGTTTCCGTGCTGATGGAAGCAAGATTCGGGGGCAAGGTTTGCGGTCCGTCGCGGATAGTTCTGACTCAGACTCAATAACAGCGGTCAGACGGACAACTTGGCGAGAGGCAAGCTGAAAAGGGCACCTCTGGGACAGGGTTCCCCACGGATCCGCCAGGTTTCCTTCACGCAGTATTCAGGATCTATTGCAGTGCTGTTTTCGCTGTACCCGCTGTACTCTCGCTGCTGAGCTCTTTGTCTATTTATGGCGGCGCAACCCAAAGACACAGCCACCAGATCCGACTAGGGGAGTGACAAGCCAATGGATATCTGTAGCCACCTCGCATAGCCCTCGCCTGTAGTCGGCAGTTATTGATGCTGGAGATACTCGCCTCTCGATTAAATCTTGAATTTAGTGATTATACTTCTTGTTTTCTTTTCCCAGTAAATTCATCGCCGATGCAAGACGGTCATGTCTCTCATCAACGTGAACAGGAAGATGCTGCGGGTGGTTCAAGTGGCACAGTCTTGCGCTGATCGCCACAGGATGGAGGTCTAGAAAACTCGGGTTTCCTCGATGACATGACGCCACGTTGAAATGTCTCAGTGCTCACAAGATCATGGTCCCTGAATCCCAAGATCCTCCCTGTAAGACACATGAAATCATAAACATGAGCTGCCTAGACAGGAAATGTGGTACTTGGAAAATATCGTGAGACAAATCGAGACCGAACCTTTGAGGAATCAAGTCCATTGACATGGACTGCTGTACTTTGTTCTTCTACTCTCCATTTCTAAGGAACGCCATGGGCTTAGGCGTCAACTCCGTACCACAACCTCGAATTTCTTCACATGCTCAGACCAACGGCCACCCGGTCCTGCGGGATCTGCCTTGGTTGGCGTCCGGGTGCTTGCAGACAGATCAAGTAAGATTGATTCGTTGTTATGCACAAGACTACTCCTCCGCACAGGAGTAGTAGGTATCACGGCCCTCGTATTTGCTTCTTATTGCCGTTTCGATAATCGGGATGTGTCTTGTGGGCCAGACCATGCTTCGTGTCCCGGTATCCCGTCTCCGGGAGCAGCTGGCCCCGGGTTGGTCGGACGGCTGCTGCAATTGCTATTGCGTGGTCCTTCAGGGGTTAACCCTCCCGCCTCGGAGCCCTTGGCGAAAACGGAGGGCAGGATTCGGACGCCACAATGCATGTATGCTCCTAAATCACGGGAGTCATGCCTTGAATGTGTCTTGCACCTACATCTATGACAACTAACTCCCTGGTGAAAATGCCGATCCCAAATATTACACGCTGGTTACCAAAACAATCTAAAGGGTCAGTCACGAATATGAAAATCGGTGAGCAGTCTGGCTCATCATCGGAAGGTGGTCTCTGCTTGAAGACTAACAGCCTAAGGTTATCTTGTTCTCAGAGTGTAGAGCTCAGTTTCATATTAGAAATATAGGGGTATGCGGGAAATAAGTTTGAGTTCTCCATGTTCATTAAGATATACCAACGGCGCAAATGAGTTCACAAGATGGCGGGATACATGAAGGCTAATATGATTGGTTCATTTGTCGTACGTCCCAAATAGGAAAACGAGGCTCAAGTAGTCGCATTCCTCGGTTTCTGCCCCTTATCGACGACGACGCTCAGCCCTACAGTCTTGGCGCCTCATGTTGAGCCTGTGCGAGCAGAACGATAGAAGCCACGGAGAGTACGTGCAAATCGAAGTTGATATCAGAACCGACGCGTCAACCCTTTTCTTGGCTTTCTCGTTTTCCTTCTATGTGAGCATGCCGCCTCTCTAGACGGGCGGGAATGTAAACGTCATGATCCGATGGATGCGACAGCGCTTGTCTGTTAGTCCACCAGCCATAAGCAACGAGAGACAATTATCCCGAGTCCTAGGATATAACAGAAGCCTTCTTGTCGAATGGATGACCACGCGCTTTTGATCACCATGGTTAATTCACTACGGTAATTACTTGGATTGCTTTTACCACAACCCAAATCAAACTTTAAGACACCATGGCTGACGATAACGACTCTGAGTGGCTCTATAACCCCTCCTTTGCCCTAGCTATCCTCGCAACTATTCTTTACAGCTTCACTTTCGTCTGGATATTTTATCTGACTGTCGTTAAATACCGCGCGTGGTTCTTCACATGTGTTGTCGTTGGGGCGGCTATCGAAGTAGTTGGATACGCTCTTAGATGCTACTCTGTCAAAAAGCAGACCGACGTTGTAAGACCGGCCTCTTATCAATCTAGACATCCCTAGCCCCCTTCATTCCCCTGAACTTTTATAGAAAGTAACAATTGACTTTACATCAGGGTCCCTTTGCCACATCACTCACCCTTGTAGTGCTGGCGCCGCTGTTCGTAGCAGCTGGCAACTACCTCCTCATCGGTCGCCTCATCCGCTCCGTGCTACCTCCCTCCCATCACAAACTCTTTCGCGTATCAGCACATCTCATAACACGTATTTTTGTGATTTGCGATGTGCTCTCATTCCTGATCCAGGCGGCTGGATCCGGAGTGGCCAGCTCAAATAACTGGGTGGGCAAAGAGGAGAAGATGGGAACAGACATCTTGATTGCTGGTCTAGCTTTCCAAGTGTTCACATTTGCTGCCTTCATGTGCATCTTCGCAAGGTTCCACTACCTCTCGAGGATAATGGTGGTGCCCGATGCCCCGAACGGATGGATGAAGGTCGTCACGGCTGTCTATGTGAGCAGCGTGTTGGTGCTGGTGAGTCGGCAGATCAGTTTTTCTGTGTGGAGCATCGAGTTCGGACATTCGTCAACTCCTGTCTCAAGTTCTAAGCAGAGCACTAACAGCCCGCAATCAGGTCCGCTCCATCTATCGACTGATCGAATTTGCTGAAGGGGTCTGGGGCTACCCATTCACCCATGAGTGGATGTTCTGGGTCTTCGAAGCGTTGCCAATGATCATAGCCATTACAATTTTCTGCCCTTATCATCCAAGCAAATATCTCGGCCGTGATGGTCGGAGAAAAGAGGCTGGCTCCGAGGATATAGGCATGTCTGACGATGCTCGAATGGCATGAAGAGCAACTGCGACGTTCGAAAGTCTCCGATAACGCGTTTCGCTGCAACAATGTGGGCATATGGCTATTTGATTTGTGTAGCACAATGTTGGGAAAGCAAGTCTAGTCGTTTAGAATGTGCAATGTGTCAGTCTTCTTCAAACATATTTGAGGTACACAGTCCATTCACTAGGAACTCCATTCGCCTGTCTGGACTCATCGTCAAGCATAGTCTCTGCAAAATTCAACGGCCAGCGAACGTACGGTTCGTAAGTGGCGGGAAGTCGGCTGGCAATGGATCGAATCCAAGTCAAAGTGATATTCTTCCGAAAGGGGAAAGAGCCTAGAATAGGATGCAATGCGATAGCACCAATCATATACTCAACCAGAAAGAAGTGAGCGAGAAGAAGCTGGGCCGTATAGTTTGTGGGATCGGCAAATGTTTTGAACTGCTCTGCAGCGGCAGCTCCGAATATAGAGTAGAGTGTGGACAGCTCCGTGAAGGCTTCATTTCCCGTCAGCAAGTATAAACACCAGATAGACAGACTTGCTTACCGTCTACTGCGGAGTTTCGTGCACATTTGATAATCCTGTTGAAATATGCTATAAATTCGATCTCGAGAGTGCTTCGGCACAAAGGCGCCAAAGCCATGATAGAAGTAGAGAACGCGTCAACGAGCTCATGTTCTTGCCTCTCAGGGGGCATCTTGTCATTCAAGCGATGAACACTATCAATGTGTTTCTCTAAAGAGAAGTTGCAAAAGAGCGAGCTCTCGAAATTTAGCATGGCCGTGTTCGAGACCACATAGCAGCCGCGAACCATCGATAGAAACTCCAGCATGCCCTCGGACATGTAGGAGGACTGGAAAGTCAGCGCCATCACGGTTGCGAAGCGTGCGTCGCCTTCAGATTCGGAAGCGCACGGCCGGCTGAGAGATTGGTTCAGCGAAGTTATCGCTGCCACACGATGAGCCAGGGCTTGCGCCGAGAAATCTTCCCCCGTGCTCGCCAATGACAGATGAGATGCAGCCAACCCCAGCATGGCATGTATCAAGTAGTCGAACTATAGTACTGTCAGAATCCCGGGTAAGTCGAGCCTGGATGGGCACATACGCTATGAGAAATGGCAGCGACATCCCTCCAGACCGCCTCGCCTTGAAGCGGTAATGGCGGGTAGCAATGGAGCATGAAATGTGAGAAGAACCGTAGATCCTCCATAGAAAAGCTTGTCGGCGTAGAGTTCAGTGCCTTTGCAGGCTCCGGGATAAGCTTACGATTGGTATCGGGGTACTCACATACCAGGCCGATGCGTCTGCAATGATCACACTCAGGCAGTGTCTCCTGGCACTTCACCTTGCGGCGCTTGCAGTTGAAACACCCCTTTCGGGACTTGGTGTGCCCCTTACGGGGGATCGGTCTGCGGCGCATCCCTGTAGCGAGTTCTGTGACCGGTGTACCATTTTGAGATGTCGGCTCGGTTGACGAGACAGTTGGAGACGCCATTGAAGAGGACTGCGGCCTCACCCGTCCCTCCGAAATCCATATTAGACTGTCCATATCTGAAATCAGGAGAAACACATATGGAATTCACGCTTTGTTATGCTGCAACAGAGCTTCCGACTATCGTGCAAGTTGATGTTCAGACGCGTGTCGGCCGTGGCGCGGAAGTAGCTGACGTTGTGAGGAGCCACATCCAATAAGGCGGGTGGAATATTCGGCCGATACGGCGTAGGCTTGGCCGGCACGGCTGGCTTGGCACGGCATCCGAGCTCCATGCCTAACAGAAGACGATCCTGATGATAGCATTTTCAGATTGACTTTTAAGATACATGCATATAGTTTTCTGGATCAGTACCTGTTATGATGCACGAGTCTTCTAACGTACTGTAAGAAGAGACTGCGTTCAGAAACTAATCGTCTCACTTGCAAGATGAGCAAATAGCCTGGATTGCACTCTTCATATGCCTATCTATGTCCTATTTTTAAGCACGAACAGCTAATGCTTTTGGTTTTAACGCAACGAAGCCCGCGAAGTCCGATAAGGAATCACAAAATCGCACGGCCTCGTCCCCCCTGACAACCTCGGTATGAAGCACAATCATGCTCCTTTGCCCACCGCGAGCGACTATGAAAGATGATTTTCTCCTTCTATAAGCAAAGCCCCAATATCCTCAATTTTGTGTTGGTGATGTGGCCCAATTGCTTCCATCAACCACATTCATACAAGAACAGGGGTTTCGTTTACTCCCTCGCCGGCTTTCCATTAACACCGTCCCTCACAGCAGCTAGGATGAGGCCCTTCGCCTTCTCGACGCCCTCCTTAGATCCAATGACCTCAATAGCTTCGTCCTTTGCTTGATCGCGAGGAACGTTTATCTTGCAGCCACTTTGCTTCCGGATGGAATTGACCTTGCTACCACCTTGGCCGATAACGTGGCGGTATGTGCGAGGATCGGGCAAGACCAAGTAACCGGTTACATTACCCTTCTTCGCCTGCTCCAGAGCGGTTTCAATGGCCTTCTTGGCCTTCTCGATGTTCTCTGGAGAGCCTCGGAGTACCCACGGAATGTCGCCCTCTTCGGCTGAGGTGTTCTCCACGACCTTCCAAGAGTGAGCGTCTGCTGTGGCTTCCTCGTCGTCTGTGATTAAGGGAAGAGCACCGCCATTTGCGCGAGTCTGGGCAGGCGAAGGCTTGGGAGGCGTCGCTTGGCCAGCGTGGTCAACTGTCACATGGTGGTCATTCCTCAGTTTCCGGAAAATTTGACCATTGTTTGAAACGGCGTGGTGCAAGCTGCGAGGCACCTGGATAGTCTCGCCTTGCTGCTCCTTGATCGAAGACAGGATATGCTCCTTGGCTTTCTCGACATCGGTGGACTGTCCGGTGATCTTAACACCAGTCTGGCCACTTCCTTGTCTCGGGATGTCAATAGACACGTTGAACTGAGACTCCAGCTGTCGCTTCGCGTCACCACCGCGACCAATCAGTGACCTGTGCTTCTCAACGGGTACCTCCACAGTCGAAGTAACCTGGCTCTCGCGTTGAGAAACTATCTCCTGGATTTGAGCGCAGATCTTGTCCACAATATCCTTGCGACCCTCGACCTTAATAGCATTGCCCTCGGCTTCTTGCTTGGGGAATTGAACGGTTCGGGCGAGCTCTCTGCGGTCATCAGAGCCTCCTGCCTTAACGACGATATCGCGAATATTCGCACCTACAAAATTAGTTTATGTTGCGAGTATGAAACATGGAACAACTTACCACCTGAGCCAATCAATGCTTTGTGATACTTCTTATCAACCTCGAGGGTACGGATAACAGTATCATCGAAGACAGACTTCTTCTCCTCCAGGATCTTCTTGGCTGCAGCAACCTGCGGCTTGGTTCCCTTGATCTGAATTTCGACCAACGAATCGGTAGCCTCTCGGCCATTGGGAATGTCGATCTTGGCTCCGGTCTGCTGGCGGAGAGCCTCCATAGCAGATCCGCCCTGTCCAATCAGCGAGGGCAGCTGCTTCTGTTGAACCGTTATGGTTGCAGTGAAGGAGTTGTCCTTCAAGTACTGGTAAAGAGTCAAGATCTCGTCACGAGCTTCGTCAGCACCCTTCTTGGGCCCTCGGATGATAACCTCGTCAGGAGCCTGTTGACGGCGCGGCTTTCCAGCAACGCTCGCAGCATCAGTAGTGGACTCGTCATCTTTGGCATTCTTCTCCGAGCGAGGGAAGAAGATGAGGACCTTGTAACGGGTCTGCAGTCTGTTGATCTGGGCGCCTTGAGCCCCGATGAGTTCCCTATGGAATTTTGGTTCAATCTTTAGGATGTGAGTAGCCTCGTCGGCCAGTTGTTTGCCGAGTGCGAGAATATGTGTCTTAGCAGCCTCGGCCTTAGCCTTAGGGCCCTTGAGGTCAACTTTGCCATCGTGAACCTGAATATCAACATCGAACTTATCACGAAGCTCACGGATGTTGCTCCCGCCCTTGCCGATCAGGTGGTTCGCGAATTTCTGGGGGAAGTCGAAGCTTAGAATAAAGCCACGCTCCTTCTCATCCTCCTTCTCTTGCTCCACGAATGCAGTGATCTTCTCAGCAAGATTCTGTACAGCGGTAGCTGGTCCGCGCAGAGTGATGGTGGTCCCCAAACTCGAAACTCGGATGGGGATCTGGTTTGATGGCCGGCTCTCCTGCTCTTTCTTGATGAACCTTCTCAATCTCTCATGAAACCTAGGACAATGTCAGAATATGCAACTGATCAAGAATCTAAGGACTTACTTTTGAGGTACATCAACAGTTGCCGTTGTGATTTCATCCTGCTGACTGATGAGGTCAAGGATGTGCTTCTGAGCAGCTCTGAGACCATCCTGGAAAGAACGAAGTTCATTCTGCGATGGCTGGTTGCGCGGAATCTGGTAGGACTGTTCGTAGGGGCCCGGAGCCTCGTAAACAAGTAGCACAGGAGCGCCCGACTCAGAAGCTTCTGGGACAACTAAGTGAACACCGTAGTCCTCGTGAACGCGCGAATTGACCTCGTTTCGCAGATACTGGTGGAAAAAGGGGTCCACGGGTACGGTGCTCATTCTTGATGGCGGGTGGCTCTCGAAAAGGCCCTTGATCTCGGCACGAGTAGGGTTGATTTGACGAAGGTCTCGCGCATAAATCTCCCATTGTGGGACATTGCCTTCTGAAGGAGTATTGATCAAGGTGCCATAGGCCTTCTCCAGGCGCTCGATCTCTTTTCTTTGCCGGAGGTACCGTGCGACATTTGCAACATGAGCTGCATCAGCGCCATGGATCTGCTTATTGAGGCGGAAGTTGTCGCAATGGACTGACTGTGCAAGTTCCAGAGCTTTGTCCACCGCAGCCTGAACCTGATCGGCCGGGCCGATCACAGTGATGGTGTCGTCGTCCTCAGTGGGAAGTACAATGGCGCACCCAGTGCTCTCGAAGAAATCCTCCATCGGCATACCATGGTCGCCAATAATGAATTGATGTCTTCCGCGCTGGAGGTCCGTCGTCTCCACAGCCAGCTGTTGTCGAAGCTCTTCGACCTGGCGCTCAATCTGAGCCCGAGCAGCCTGAACAGCTGCTCGGTCTCCCGCGAGCTGGATAGGATTTTCGACAGAAGCGGGCTGGAACACAGGTCGCTGTCCTGCCTCGGGCCGAGCCGGTGGCTGAGAAGAGAAAACCTGGTGTGGGGGAATTCGGACCTGAACTCCATTCTGCTCCAAGTTGCTTCGCAAGTTGCTCTTAGCACCAGCGAGGAATGGGTAGAACTCTGCCGGGATTCCTCGGAGCTTAGTGTTGACATTGGCGGCTCTTTCGCCGGCAATCTTGAGGATGGCGTCCCGAGCTGCGGCAGCGGAAATGGCGTTGCCCTCGACGACAACATCGATAGTGCTGTCATCATCCTCGTCTACTGGAGCATCATTATTCTCAACCTTAGGCAGCTGGATTCTTGCACCGGTCTTTTCTTGCAATGCCTTAATCGTGGATCCTTGCTTTCCGATGATGTGGGCGCGGGCAGACTGAGGAATGGGAACCGTCACACTTTGCTGTATAGCTGTTAACAACACCCCCAGACGGTATAGACTTGATACTACGTACCTTGGCACCAATTTGTTGGACGAGTTCCTTCAATGCCTGTTGAGCAATGTCCTGAGGTCCAGCCGCGTCAAACCTTAGCCTTCTATCGGCGGTGGCTGGCATCGAAATAGTTGCGCGGGACTTGCGATTGAGATCCTTGATGATGTCCGGAATGGGTCGTCTCAGCTGGGTCCGGGGAAGGATATGCTGGGGCTCCAGCCAGATGGATTCAACATTGCGGCCGGGGATCGACATGGCCGGGGGACCGTGGAATGCGGAGCTGGTCGGGGTCGCGATACCGGAGGCCGGAGTCGATGCTCGAGAGGTGCCATTGGCGGGGCTTGTGCCGTTGGTCTTGCCATTGACGTTCGTCTTGGCACCCCATTGAGGCACGACGCCCGCGCTGGCCTTGGGCTTGGGACCGCCGAGCTCAGGGAACAGTTCGTGAGACTGCGTGTCCAGGGCAGTAGGGCGGCCCCCACTCGATTCTTGGACCTTCTGCTTGCCTGCAGCCTTCGTAGACATTGTAGGGCCCCAGGAGGGGGCGTTTTCCTTTCCGGCGGGCTCGGGCTCGGGAGCTGAGGGCTTGGGGTGCTTCAAGTCCTCCTCGTCGGGGACCTCTTCGACGGTGACAGCGTGCTTCTGGAGAAGCTTCTGGGCGGCGGAGAGATCATCAGTGTGTTCACCACCGCTGGCGGTAGCGCTAGAAGCCATGATGTCGTAGAGAGGATCCGATAGATGATGACCGAGAGATATATCAGACTAGTATAAAAGCAGGGGACCTTGGAAGAGGCTCTGCTGACGAAGTCAGAGACAGCTCGCCAAGCACTGGAGCCAAGAGACAGACTTTGCAAGAGGAGAGGATAGTGGGCTGGTAGAACTGACCGTCAATATAAGGATGACCTCTGAGCCAGAAATATGGAGGTGAATAGTTGTGTAGACCTTGTCGAGTGAGACACCGAGGTTAGCTCAACGAGGTCGCCTGAGATATACTTTGTGCGTTGGAGAAAGGTAGAAGTGGCGGCGATGGCGGATTAGAACATGATGCACCGCAAAGAAACGCAAGAAAAAGGCCACGAGATGGAGACGGAGAGTCGAAGCGTATACGGAGGAAGATGGAGAGGTGCGCAGAGGCAGAGAAAGGACGCAATTGATCAATTGATGGATGGGGCGCTTGAAGACGTCTTGAGGGTGTCGTGGAAGTTTCTCTGGTAACTCACCAAAATGTTCGGATGGAGGAGTCGAGTGGAGTGCGGTGCTAACTGCCTACAGGCAAAGCGCTGGACAGGGATTATTTTTCCCGAACAATCTGTGGAAGCGCACAAGCACCCATGGACTGTTAGTGAATGGGACCATCCAGACAGAGCAGTTGACCCTAGCGCCACAAAGCTATGGCTACCTAGCGGTGCGGTGCGCGGTCGTGACCACCTGCTCTCCACCTCAACAACGACGCTGCGCCCCTCCCCATATCTGCAGACGAAATTGTGGCAGTTACTCATGATGGCTGACGCTTTCGGTTCCTGAGGCTATAAGGCCATAACTTAGGTGCTTATAGTCCTTCCCAAGGGTGGTTGAGCTGTCTCGACATGTCTTGTCTTGTTTTGTCTGGCCTGGCCTGGCCTGACCTTGTCTTACCTTACCCCGCCATCAAAGGAAGCTCATGATCACGGCTAAACATCCACACTACAGCCATGGAGCTCTCGATGCAAGTCCAACGCTCTGCCTGTGCCGCTTATTACCAGGGAGGCATGTGCTCCTAGTTCCCATTAGCACGGGCAGATGGAAAGTTATGCAATTTGGCGATGGCATACTGAGAGAGCATTGATGGCCATGGCCCGATGTTCAGAGACAGCAACATTGACCAGATCATGCTTGCAAGATTTATTCATGATCAGAGCCTCAATCTCCATTGGAATATTTCCAGTATGCAAAAGCCATATCGAACGATCATAGTCATTGTCAGTATTTAAAGGTCAAGTTTGAGGACAGTACATACATGTGTTTAGCACACCTTATTGTTGGCTTGCCTTCAATCTAGGTAAATGAGTACACTTCATCATGTACCTCTACAACTGCTCGGACTACATGGTCAAATTGCTACACTTGGTAGAAACAAATTTCGTGTGATATTGCTGACTAGCTCTTCCTTTCTTTGAAGCACGCTATACCCTCCGGCTTATTGATTACTTGTAGGTGATTTGATTGGAGCGACGGTCGTGATCAGGTTTCAGCTCTCTATATCCATCGCAGGATCTACTCCTCGAGTCTCACACAGGATAATAAACGCTGGTTGAGCGACATCTTTCCCACAATTCGGCTGCCACGTAATCGCACTGCGATCATTTGATATCGTGTTGTCTGTCCGAAAAAGGAGCGTCAGGAAGACGCTATTCCAAGCGTGGCGAGCTTCCAATATCTGCATCTGCCTGCATATTAGCACAGCACCTGCAAATGGATGCTTCAATTGGACTGTCTACTTGCACGTATTGGGTTGGTAGGTGGGAGCTGTGATGGACGATCTCTGGTAGACCCAACCACATCACTAGAGTGCCAAGAGACTATCGAGGCGTTTGTGAACTCTGTCTGGTCTTCCTATCCTCCTATAAGCTAAGCGGCAGGGGAATGTCGTCCCGAGGCGAGTAGCGCAGAGCGGGAATGTCTCACACAGCTGACAAAGGCCGTGATAAAAAATGTAGTTGTTTCCTCCTGAGACCTTGGAAGATTGCACTCAGCAAAATGTCTCACTGGATCATCAAAAAGAACGCCCAATACTCGTCGGACCCCCAGGTGCTCGGCGCAGGACCAGTCGACCACAGGACTTTTTCAGCCATGGTGAGGCCGCTATTGATCCGAAATCAACGCAATCTGTGGAGGCTCGCTGTGAGGATGTCACCAACCCATGTCACCTACATGGGCCGCCCGTGAGACACATTGGCGGCGATTATATTGGCCAGAAGTAACAGAGAGTTCTTGACACAGCTATAGGAGGAAGAAGGAGACACCAGCTAGAGAGTCGATGATGGCTCTACACACTCGCTCGAATCAAAGCGTGCAAAGACTGCTGCAAAAGAAAGCAGCAGTTGATGACACCTCATCCCTTGCTTAGCACTGGAGGAATTGACAGGTCCAAGATGAATTGATGAACGCATCATGTTGCATAGGACTTCCCGGGACGATTCTACGAGTCTGGGGCCACAAGGCTTACGCAAGGTACCGAAAAGCAAGGAAAGACAGGGGGACTGATCCGAATTCCCCATTCGAGCGGAGCCCAGGCAAGTGAGGTTGCAAAGCAGCCTTGATAACATCAACCGCGTATGTGTTTTTGGCACAGTAGTCTTGCTTCGAGGCTGGAGCCATGACGTCCGTCAACTTACATTTGGGGACGCCACCAGGCTCGTTGGTGCGGTACTCCATCAAAGCTGACAGGCATTTCAAGCAAGCAATTCTTGGTTTGGGTGCATTGACCAGGGCCAATTCGAGATCGGCGCCGGGAGAGTCCAAATCAGCTTCCGCCGCCCGCCAAAAAAGCTCGTTACGAAAGTTGGAGGGGGGGTCGTACAGCCGAGCAGGCCGAGCAGCTCAAAGTCTTCTGGCTAGTGATGGGGTGTCATTGGGTGGAGTTGGATGATATCAGAGGTCTGCTTGAGTACTGTAGCATATCGGATGATTCTTGGAAACACGGTGGTATCAATGCTTTCGTGCCTTGCGCGAGGTAGGTTGTAGGCGGGTCTGCCCAGAGCCTCAAGAATTGATAATGAGCTAATCGAAGCTGAAGAAGTGGATTGAATGTATAGCTATTTTTAATGGACCTGGCAGGCACGCAATGCATGGAGGGTCTCGTATCGTGCCGTATCATCTCCTAATCCTGAGAGCTCCTATGACTGAGATCGGACTGGTTGAAACGGTGATAAGAAGGCTCCTAAGCTTGGGGAAGACATGGCTGAGAATTCGGGGCAGCTCTTTAGATCTTGATGTCCCCATCGTCGTCTGAGGACCACCTCCCGTATCATAACCGCGCAGCCCTGCCACCATGTCGGATTTTCAAGGAGAAAGAGTGGCTTCGCAAGCTGAGAGTGTCGCAATTTGTGGGGAGGCGATGGATGAGCACAAAGCATGGCGGGGAGTGAAACCGCTGTGGTGGTCTCGACACCAATGGAAAGTGGGCTTCGCTCTCCCGCAGCAATCAATTACGGGTGATTGCACGACTGATTGGACGGACCGAAGCAGGAAGGGAAAATCCGTTGGATGTCACTTTACTGTACAAGAAAGCCCCCCCTATCGACATTGCAGAGTCAAGGCGGCTTGCCGGCAGAGAGGGGCTTTGGAAAGCTTCCAGATAGATTCTCTCAGGGTGAAGAAGGGGGGAGTTCAGTCACACAGGCGAGGCCATTCGCAGGTTGGTATCCCGCAGATGCAGCCTCCATCCATCTCGAGAACAGACTCCCGCCTCTCTGGTGTGACGACAGCCTCTCGATGCGATGCGATGCAAAGCAAGGCAAAGCAAAGCCACACGGCTAGGCGGGTTCCCTGATTGAAACGGCGTCAAAGCTAGGGGCCACCCTAGCCATGTCCTGCTCCAGCTCCAAATCCAGAAACTCAGTCCCCCCCCACGATGCCCCTCCGTCCATTATCAAGCATACCTTGAGTAGCATTAAGCAAACACAGAGGCCCATACAGTACGGTAAAGTACAATTGAGTTGTACCGTCCTCACACCATCATTGAGCCATTAAGACCCCTTTGTCGTTGTTATATCCAAGCAGGATCTCCCTATAACCCACCTCTGGTCCCCCGTTAGTGCGCCGTGATACGCTCGTCGAAACGGATTCAACCCGCTTTAATTCCTGCTCTCTTTTCCACGGTATCCCAGCAGCTCCGTGACATCTCCAGACAGAAAGACAGGCGGCCCAAGACACAGGATAGCAGCACGCCCTCTCCGAAGTTCATCGTGCCCGCTCACGGCTACCGGTACTGCTATCGACTGCCAACATCTCCTGCTGTCCCTCCGAGATCCTCTTCGTGTTGTGCAGCTGTTTGCACGACACAACAGAGAGCCACCGGCGGCAGACCGAACGAGGCGCCTGGCCAGGGTCGGGAAACAGAGCAGCCTGCGCCTGGGTGATCTTCCCGTCCCAATCTATCGATGCGCCAACGTATGGGGGCCGTTGAAGAAGACGGTAGCTCTGAATGAAGGAATAAGTACTATCTGGTCTACCTAGATTATACCTACCTTACCTAGCAAATACAGTACAGTAACCCCCATTCTCTCTTGTCAATCCACCCAGCAGCACATTCACATTCACCCGCCGGCACATTCACAAGCCAAACCATCTTCAACCTCTTCCTCCACACAGTATCTCTTGCCCTACTAAAAAGGTGTGGAGGGCGTTAAGCATGTGCCGTCCTGTGTCTAGTGGGTGCTAACAGACGTTCGAGGAGCAGTTAGTGAGCCGCCAGCGGGGCTCCGTCTTGCAACGATCTCACGCTTGTGCCGCGCCCCCGTCGTGGTCGTGGTGCCACATCAAAGTCCTTCCATCAAACGGGCAGCTCCTCAGTCACGCCATTGCGCACTGTTCGGCCAGACACGATTACCCGCAATCACGCACTCAAGCTTGCTCGCGGTCTGCCGTGACTGCACCGTACGAGCAGTGCTACACACCGTGCGTGAAGTCGAATTTGATACCTCCCTCATCAGCGTGGCCGAAGAAGAACCTTAGACCTGGCCCGCCCCGCCGCCAGCAATCAGTGACACCAAAACGGAGCGCAATTGCAGCAGCGGCGCAAAAAGCAGAGCAGTGCAGTGCCAGTGCCAGAGCAGTGTTAGAGCAGTGCCAAAAAAAAAAAAAGCAAACCGCCGCGCCCCGTCCGCATTCAAGTCACTTTCAGTCGAGGAAGCGATCCATCAATCATCCATCGACTCCCCCCAATTCTTTCCCACTCCCCCCGTCTTTGTTCGGCCCAATACAATCCAATCAAATCGGGCGCCTCAAGCAGTCGGAGCAGCTCCTGGGCACCAAAGCGACGCCAGCAACAGCAGGCCACAGGTCTAAGGTCCAAGGGCCAAAGAAACGCAATTTTTCCTTACGCCCTCCTCCACCGTGCAATACCTCCACTATCTGCTGCTGCCACTGCTCCTCCTCCTCCTCCTCCTCCTCCTCTCTTCTCCGCTGTCCCTCGTCGGCTCTGGTCTGGTTTGGTTTGGTCTGGTCTGGGTCTTGTCTGAGCCTAGCCTCTCTAGCCTGCGCTTACGCCCACACCTACTCCTCTTTCCCCCCGAAGCATTCCCCCCCATCGAACCCGCCCGTCTTGAGTTACGCTGGCACACTGAACTACTGAGCCAACCCGACCTGACTGACACACCACACACGCACACACACTTGCTCACACGGCACCGCACCGTCTCCCTCCATAATACTACCGGCCTCTACCGCAAGGGTAAACTCCATTTTTACCTCTCCCGGTGGTGTATCATGGACCATCAGAGTCAACAAACTCTGTCCTCCGCCAACTCCACTCGGCGCAAGCTCATCAAGAAGCACCCTACCGGCCACCACCACACCAGCTCTCTGAGCATCGATGGTCGTATTGACGCCCAATCTCTCCAGAGCAAACGCAGCTCTACGAGTCTGAGGCGTGCTCCCAGCGCTCCACCCGCCAGGACCCCGACCTCCAACGCGTCCAACAGTTCATCGCCGCGGCATCCTCCCACTGCTCTGCGCTCCAATCCCTCCCCCATCCTGCCCGGCGGCGAGTTCTCCGGCCCCTCGTCGTCACCCTACGCCTCTCAGCCTTACCACGCCGCACAAGGCCAAGGTCACGCTGCCTCCGCTGCCGCCGCCATCCTCCGCAACGACCGTTCCTCCGATCCCCATTCCCACCAGCATCAACTCAGCTTGAAGACCTCCGAAGAGTTTATTGGCGCTCCCTTCGACGGTAGTGCGATCCTCAATCGCATCGAGGCCACCAAGTCGCCCACGGCTCTCCATCGCCCGCCCCTTCCCCCAGTCTCCCACACGAGCCCCGATACGCGCATCATGGGTGGCCCTGCCCTTCGCCAGTCCGCCAGCTTCTCAGCAGCCGATGGAGCCATGGCTGCTGAGAAGTCATCAGGCCCCAGGGTGACCGAAAATCAATTGCCCCAGTCGAAGCGCTACTCAGACGAGAGCAAGGAGCCGAAGATAGCGGTACTGAGGAAGAAGTCGGGCTTCTCTGGCTTCATGACCAGCTTGGTGGGGTCTCCCAAGAAGCCCTTAATCTCAGCGCCAGAGAATCCCGTCCATGTCACTCATGTGGGATACGATAGCACAACTGGTCAATTCACTGTTGGTGCCGACCTACTTTCGACCCCGCGTCTCATGTTTCTAACCAGTCAATAGGGCCTACCGAAAGAGTGGCAGCGACTAATCAATGAGAGCGGCATTCCCGAGAAGGATAGGCAGGCGAACCCCCAGATTCTTGTAGACGTCCTCACGTTCTACAAGGAGACGACCGAGAAGCCACAGGAGGATCAGGTGCTGGAGAAGTTCCACGATGCCAGAGCTCCCGAGATGCGTCAAATTGCGACCACGCCGTCGACTGGCACCATCCCGTCCCCCGGCATGTTCCCCACGACCTATAATCCGATGTCGCCCATGATCAGCCCTCCAGCGAGCCCGCGTTTCCCTCAAGTGAACAATTCTAGCTTTGAAAATCCACGGTCACCACCGCCCGTACCGAAGAGCCATGGCGGTCTCGTGCCGAAGGACATCAACCTAATGCCCAGCCGACCTGCACCCAAACCGCCCGTCAGCCTCCCAACCAGGGCAGCACCACAGCCCCCATATCCTGCGAAGGATTCGGGTATTGGCATGCCACAGTCTAATGACGACCAGCAGCAGGCACCTTACGTACCGCCTAAAGATACCCCCATGCTACCCGAGGAGCATCGATCTCGATCCAATTCTCGCGTAAATGGCACGGCACCCTATGCCCCCGGGCAACCATCACCAGCAGTCGCAGCTGCCTATCAAGCGCAGTTGATGCAACAACAACAAGAGCAAGCATTGGCACAAGCCCAAGCTGCTATGACCGGGCAGATCGGCCGAGCACCTAGCAAGCGGCAACAGACACAACAGCCCACTCCTCCGCAGTCCCAACACCAGTTTCCCCGAACCGCCGAGCAAAATGGCGCTGCTAGGCCGCAGCAGCCTCAAATTGGCGCTGTACCAGGCGCAAGACCGCGGCACCGACCTCGACAGAGCAATGGCATCGACGTCGTTGCGGCTCTTAAGAGGATCTGCTCAGAAGGTGACCCGCGTGAGATTTATCGGGGCTTTACCAAGATTGGCCAGGGTGCCTCAGGAGGTGTTTATACTGGCCACGAAAGGGGAACCAATCGTCTTGTTGCAATCAAACAGATGAATCTGGAGCAACAGCCCAAGAAAGACCTGATCATTAACGAGATCTTGGTCATGAAGGACAGCTCGCACCCCAACATTGTCAACTTCATTGACAGCTATCTATGCGGAGGAGAACTATGGGTAGTCATGGAGTTCATGGAAGGTGGCAGCCTGACAGATGTTGTCACATTCAACATTATGACTGAGGGACAAATCGCGTCTGTTTGCAGAGAAACGTTGAAGGGCTTGCAGCATCTGCACTCCAAGGGAGTTATCCACCGTGATATCAAGTCAGACAATATTCTGCTTTCCATGGAGGGCAATATCAAGCTGAGTACGTCTACGAACTTCGATTTCGTGTAAATCAGTTCCCCATGCTAACACGTACCCTAGCCGATTTCGGATTCTGCGCGACTATAAACGACGCTCAAAACAAGCGTACGACAATGGTCGGCACGCCGTATTGGATGGCTCCTGAGGTCGTTACTCGGAAAGAGTACGGTCGTAAAGTTGATGTGTGGTCATTGGGCATCATGGCCATTGAGATGATCGAGGGAGAGCCACCGTATCTGACTGAATCACCCCTACGAGCACTCTGGCTCATTGCGACAAACGGCACACCAACAATTAAAGATGAGCACAACCTCTCGCCTGTGTTCCGTGACTTCCTCTACTTCGCCCTTAAGGTGGATCCAGAGAAGCGAGCAAGTGCACATGACCTGTTGAGGGTATGTATTGGCCCAAGCCTCCTTTACCCCTGTTCGCTTTCAGCGTAACTAACGTCGCATAGCACGACTTCATGAAGCAATGCGTAGACCTATCACAACTGTCACCACTTGTACGAGCTGCAAGAGAAGCTCGAGCACAGGAGAAGGCGAGAAAGGGCCAGTAAACGGCCCTGTTACCTATCGACCTATCTATATTAGCCAGCTTCTAACATTAGCTGGGCAGCTGTCGAGTCACGGGACAAATCACCCTAAACTCGGTCAGCCTTACACCAACGGATTCATGCACATATTTCCTCTACCAGCCATGTGGCTTCGCTGTCCATGCTTTCCTTACCCCTTTTTCACAGACTTCATTTGGATTCAAAGCCAACTCTTTGCAATCTTGCTCGGAGTCGATATCCCCTATTCACTCGATCCCTAGTTTCGTGGAGATAACTTCGGAAAACTTTGGGCAAACATTACAAAACTTGAACAAAAGAGCATCTTAACAATCGGCTTGCCGTTCCCTTGACGGGAAAGTCTTTGGCAGCTAATCTTCCCCGTGCGGCTTATTGCATCACCTTTAGAGGCGTTTCTTCTTGGGTTACCCCTGTTTCACACTCGGCTCACTCATGGTCCCTCAGATAACCGAACTACAGCTTCGGCTTCTTCTGACACCCTTATTGGATTCTGTTTAGTGTCTGAAGGCCGGGCATCACTTTTTTATGACGTTGCTGCTAGCAGGAGGTTTGGCAAGTGAGCGCTGTTCGAAATGCATCTCCTTTGTTGTTGATCAAGGAAGAGGGAAGTGTACGGATGGAAAAACGCTAGTCCATTGGGTAGCAAAGCAAGCAGGCAGAGGAAACGCCCCCCGCATGGAAGGAAGGGTTGAATGGAGAGGCGATTGGAAACTTTTTTGACACGAAGGAACTTCACACCCGTTCTAGCTGATAGACAGCTTTGGAACATCACACCTTTTTTTGGTATTTGCGACTGGGAAGGAACTACTACTACTTCTGATGAGATGCAAAGCGAATGATGAAATGGATGGATATGATGAGTCACAGACCAGGATCCCCGGCTGCCGGACTGATTGGGGTGGTTTAATGACACACCTCCCGGGCAGGGCTGAACAGCTGCGATGAATGCAATCGGTTTTTTGAACAAACTTTTGTGTGCCCCTGTTTGGTGACCTTGTCTAAACAGTGTGCTTGACTGCTGTGACTCTTCGGTCATGTTTGGACGTCGTTCTAGTGACGCAGCTGGCAGCGAGGAGGTCTGCTATGCCCCAATTCCTCACAACTTCTTGCTCGTCTTCTGGTATATAAAAAGGTGCTAGTGTCCATGGGGTGATTATTGTCAAGTCCGTCTGAAGAGGCACCGATAATCTATTATATCTCAAAACCCTAAGTTTGGCCAGCACGTTCCCTGGTCTCAATTTCCACCTACGCCTACCTCCTCGAGCCGCTCACTCCAACGACGTCAGCGTGAGCCTGACGCCTGAAAAGATACCAGAGTGCTGAAGTCAGCTCTTCGTAAAGTCCTCCTTAACGCCATCGCTAATGCTGGAATTCTGACTTGTACATTCGTCGTCACTCATCATTTTCATTTTCAGATATCTCCCACCCAATGATCACGATTACGGAGAGACATGATTGCCCTAGAGACTCCGGCCAGATGACCGTTACACCTGATACGTCTTTCCTCAGTATAACGGAGAACGAGCCCCACAGATGGGCGAGCTTTACGCCGTTCTCTTGTAGCTTATCCTCAATCTTCCCCAGGACTTCGAATATGTATACCAGGTGTCTTCACGGCGTATCAATTAGGACATGGCAACACCCCTGGTATACGGAACCGTGGAGAACTCCACGCAGTTCGCGCCTAGAGTTCTGAGTCATCTTCTATATACATACAGGATAAGCGATTTCGACGTGCTTTCGTCACCTTGACTTTCACACGGCGCTCTCCAACCGCCCCCGTATTATAAGGGGTGGCAGTCACTAGCGATTCAACCCTGAAAGCATTCATACCCCGGGCCCAGCATTAACGCCACCAGAAATAGGGTCAGACTGAGCTACCGCAGAGTGCAACCCAGACTGTAGAACACTCTAGCCATACCCTCCAGTGCTAATACTGCGAAGATACGCATCAGAGTGCCCAGCATGGCGGTCAGAAGCAGACCTGGATATCAGAGCCACCAGTTAACGTTCAGCATCAGAATTACAACTCGATATATAATCATCGACTTAGACGAAGCCTTGACACAGATCAGGAACAGGACAAAGCACCGATGCACTACCTTTATTTGTGCGCTCCACTGATCTTATGACGGAGACCTTGCTTGCCAATGATTTGCGGAAGAGGCAACACTGTCACGTATCTTGCATTCTTGTACAACGTGACTGGCCATAAACTTTTATATATAGACCATCTACAAGATCAGAAGGTGTCTAAAATTCGGGGTTGACATCGTCGCCATCATCGTGGGCTGTCATGTAACAGAAGCATGCACAATTCTTTTGTATCACACTTTCTCTATATATTGTCAAATTCAATTTTTTTAACTTTGTTTAGAGTTGAGACTGATCCTATAAGATACACTAAGGCAATGTGTACAATCTGTTGCAGAAGCGGAAGCAATACATGAGCCCCAACCACGGACGTGAAGACGACGCCCACGGCATGGAACACTACATTGAACGCACCGCTACCCGCATCCCTTGACCAGAGAAGCACGCTGATGTCGGCGTTTAAATTTTCCCACTATAGATCTCTAAGTGCCCCAAGTAGCCGAAGGCTGACAAAGAGACTCGTCTTTATATCGAGTTCTCGTTCTTCAAGCTGTCTACCTACTCTGCTGATGTAGAAGAGCTGGTAGACTCGCTCATGGCTCATGCTGCGTCGTTGGAGCCTCACCTCCGGTACAATGAAGCAACAGTCATTCATCAGCACCAGCATGGCGTCCGACGGCCTGTTATCAGAGGACCTTGTCAGCAACATCCTACACTCCCATTCAACCGCACCGTCTATGTTGAAAGACTATGTGTTCTTTTATTATGAACTCGCACATTCAACCCAGGTCCAATGATATCTAGAGTTCCTTTCTTATCGTCATTTTCGGCTGCAGGAACGAAGCCATGAGGCCAAAGTAGGACAATCATTTATCTTTGTCTTCTTAGATATCACCACTAGTACAGAAATTGTAATTCATTTCTAGGTGAATTTCACCCAAACTGATGTCCATGGCTGATGGTATCCCTTCTCGTCAAGCGGTGCTTTCTGCCTAGTGAGCGAAGCTGGGGGGAGGAGCATGGGAGACATTACATAAAGAGACCATGCTGGCACCTTGCGAGCAAACAGTGCATCGGTGCAGTATTTACGAGCAGTCAGCATGACCACAAGGGCATCATTTAAACAGGCGGACGCTTTTACTGTAGTCAATGCAGTTTAAGTAATAGGGTCCTGGCCGCGTCCGTGCAGAGATCGTGAGACGGAATAGCCAATGAGAACATCGACACCTCTGGCCCACCTTCTACTTTAGGTAATGAGCAGTTGGGTGAGTGTACGATGAGAGGTTGACGATGCCTGCTTGAGTAACCCAGCCGTCGTAATAGCAGAAATCCTTGGTGGGTATTCTTGGTTTACAAGCAGACCGCCAGTCGATATTGCTAGAGTGTTCTCATAGATTGTTGGCTTGGATGTGAGGCATTGGTGACTTGGGCTAGAATTAATGCAGATGGAGTCGGGTGAGGATGCTGCTAGCAACTACACTACAGCAGTAGCCTAACACTGCTATCTATCACTGGTAATCTGCCATCATCATCATCATCGAGATAAGAGACTGTTTCAAGCTGATGTCAAAGCTTCTATCTTCCCGTAGAGCGGCCATTACAGAACATTTCTTCCTGCCCTTTTCGGAGCAACTTGACCACTATTTAATAGCATGCGTAGATCACCTTGCAGCAATTCCATGAAGTACTGCTGGAAGTATTGCTGGAAGTACTGCTGGAAGTATATCAATGTAGACACCTGGTACTCCCAGTTTCCCCGAGAATTATGATGCCAGTGAAGCCATTCCCGCCCACGCAGCCAAGTGGGGTCTCGGCCATCCGGTCCATGCAACGCATCGAGTCTAGAACCACCAAGACACAGTTGCTTTGATCTCAGAATGAGATCTGTCTGTTTTACTTAAGCCTACTCTCTGAAACGCATTGGGGGCGACCGTCAGCAAGTTGTTTTCGTCATTTCACCGTCCAGCGGTGTCCTAGGGATCGGGTGGGATGGGGCTATGACGCTGTTTTTTTTTTCTCTCGCCATGGTGCGGATCTGCAAATCTGGACACAACCGATATCCGCTAGTGGCGTCGTGCTTGGCTTCGGATCAAATGTGTGAAACGGCGTACATAAAAGACTAATCAGCACGCGGCGAGAAAAAGCCTCATGATGTAAATAGCTTCACGCCGGACGCAGCTCGTTGGGTTCGTAGTTGCGGCCATTTCCTGATCGATGAACAAGTCACCTCGAGCCAAGTTCTAGGTATACAAATGGGGTTAGTGTCATCTCAATGAGGCATCATAAAGTCACAATCATAAGATCACGCAAAACATGGGCAAGATAAGCTGGCTTGATTGTTGGAATGATGTATTCCTGTCATTGGTAACTTCCCGAATGGAAAGTGATCTATTCTCTGGTAACCCTGTACCATGTCATCATGAACTTTTGAGAAAAGCCGAAAGCAGATCCTCTGGTTTCCGTGAATACCATCTTGGTCACTCCTAAACCCCTGTGCCAAGCAAATGTAAAGCAAAGCCAGGCCAAAAAAAAAAAACGTTTCTCAACATCCCTTTCTGGTGATGGAGAAAAAGATTAAAAAAAATTCGTGAGCGGCTCTCCATAACCTCCACCATTAGTCTCAAGTCATAGCCGCAAGTAGATCCCGTAGATCGTACAACGTCCCCTGTCCTCTCTCTACAAGACCTCAAATCTATCCGGGTATCAAGTAAACCGAGTTCCTTCATCTCTCAACGCAGAATGCGCTTAGTAGAGGGTATATCCACCATCAATGAGGACGTTGGAGCCGGTCATGAAGCTGCTGGCATCGGAAGCCAGGAAGACGCAAAGACCGTTGAGGTCGTCAACTGCACCCAGACGATCCTGGGGGGTAAGAGACTTCCAGATCTTCTTCTGGGCGTCGAGGGCAGGAACCTTGTTCAAGGCAGTGTCCATGTAGCCGGGGGAGATGCAGTTCACACGGATGTTGTACTTGGCCCACTCGGCAGCCAGAGACTTGCCAAACTGGATGACACCAGCCTTGGACGCGTTGTAGCAAGACTGCTCCTGCGGGTAGTTGACAATAGAGCCAGACATGGAGGCAACCAGGATGATGGAGCCGGGCTTGCCAGCGGCCATCATAGCGCGACCAACAGCCTGGGACATCAGGAATGAACCAGTCAAGTTGATGTCGATCAGACGACGGAACATGGCGGGGTCGTAGGTCTCAGCCTTGATGTTGGAATCGGCGATACCAGCTGAGTTGACGAGAACATCAGGAGCGCCGTAGAGATCAACAACAGACTGAACTGCAGCGTTGATGGCGGCGCCATCACGAACATCAACCTTGAAGAAGGTCACTGGTAGGCCAGACTTCTGGTGCAGCTCGGCAGCAGCCTCGTCACCAAGCTCCTGATTGGCGTCAAAGATGACGACTGCCTTGGCACCAGCTTCAGCGCAGGCACGAGCCATGTAGTTGCCCAAACCACGAGCACCACTAATTTGATGTTAGTTTGATGTGATCACAATCTGATGTAGAATCTAAAACTCACCCAGTGATAATGATGACCTTGCCCATCACAGACATCTTCTGCATGGTGGGAGGCATCTGCTCGTACACCTTTTGGTCCAGGGGAGTCACATCGGTGTTCTCCTCAGGCTCGACAGCAGGAGGAGGAGGAGCACCCTTTGTGCGGACGGGGATGCTGAAATGGTCAGAATTGCCACTGGCGACGCCTTTGGAATCCGGGGTGTAGACGGACACAGGGACCTCAGTCTCCTTGATGACCTCGTTCTTAAACTGAGGCAGCTGGACAGAGAAAGATCGGGCGCTGATCAGGGGCATGACCTGTCGGGCAATAGGAGGACGCGGCATGGCAACCAGGCGGCTGGCGCGGAGAGCGGATCTGGCGACGAAAGACATCTTGATGGATGTTTGAGGGTCAAGGTGAAAGTTGTAAAAGAAGGGATGGTCCAAAGAAGTCTAGAAGATGATGTGGGTGTAAATACCAGTGAAAGGTGGGTGACGTGAAGGCCGACGAAAGGATCCTGGGGAGAAAGGTTCGTCCAGTCCAGAAAATCTGGGAGGCCAAGATATAGGCTACCTCAGGGCAGAGCAGTGAAGCAGGAAGGGCAGGTCAGGCTTCGAAAGACGACGATAGTTTTCCAATCGGGTCTTCAGATGAAAGAGCTGACAGGAGGCTGAGGGGTAAGATGCGCAAGGTCCTAAGGGAAGGAAGGGAATAATCCTTGGTATCGTGAATTATTAAGGCTTGGCTAGGATCGTGAGATGCCTAGTGCAGCGGAAGATCGGACGAAATATGGCGGGTTGTCGCTTGGTGTCTTTTGAGTGTAAGCACCAAGGAGGATGGACAATTCTTCTTGTGCCTCTAAGTGGTAAAAGCAGAGTGGTATGAAGAAATTGTAAAAGAATATTATGTCTCAGAAGAGATCAATTGATGAAGGAAGCAGACCAAGATGATGTTTGGTATAAGAAGAGAAAATCTCAAGGCACGTCTAAAGTGCCCGGGCTCCTCAATAGCGACAACAAAACTGCTTTGTGAATAAGGGAGGGCCCGACAGAGGGATCTCTACCGTCAGGCTTTATATATCTTTGGAGGTTGATGGGAGATGGGGAGCTTCTTGGTGGGGAGGACGGGCGGCGGGCGGCGTAGGCGGGCTGGGGTGGGCTAAGGTAGGTAGCGTGGTGTAGGGGTGGTAGTGGTGGTTGTGGTAGTGGTAGGAGTGTGGTCGGTAAGGCACTAGGCACTGCAGTGCGTCAAGCGTAGAACGGAGAGGGAGGCAAGTTGACTGATTGTAGATCGGCTGGTAGTGCCTGATAGTCTCGGATGAGGCGACGGGGCAGTGGCAATTCTGGACCCTTGAGAATCTTGGGTGTTGCGGGTTTGTCAGGACTTAATGCGGGCCCAACGAGGTCTTGGACTTTTGGGCTGACGGCGGATGGAGTTGGTGTGTACCAGGGCTCGAGCAGGGGTCGAGTACGGTACAGAGGTACCTGGGGAGGCGCTGGTTGTCTGTCGCTTCTCGCTGGTCGGGGGGGCTGTGGAGGAGGGTGGGAGACGTCTGGGAGAGAGAGCGTGTTGATCGCTGTTCGTATCCACGCGCAGGAATCCGCAGCTGCCGATTGAGCAAGTGGCTTTCGAGGAAACGGGCTGCTGCACACCTGGGCACTCGGGAGAAAAATAAGCTTTGTGTTCTGGACCACTCTGTCTCCAGGCGTAGTGCAATAGCAGGGCGAGCAGGGTTCCCAGGGGGCTTCCCCCAGCGAAGAGCAAGGCAATTGGAGGTGTCTCGAGAGGATGTCACCTAGCAAGCTTGCAACAGCGAAGCAGAAGATGCAAGGCGGTTGGATCACCTCCGCATGCACTCGCACTCTAGATACTCTTCATCCATTGCTTGCTGGCTGGCTTGCTGCTCTGTTATTCCCTTTACCCACAGGGAAAGGAACAAGCTGATGGTGCTGGAGCTGGAGCTGGAGCTGGACTGCCCGGGCTTGGAGGGAACACACACACCACACACCACCGTCCACAACCATCCACACCTTCCCAGGGCTTAGGTTCACAATCACCCACACCAGTCAGGTACCAAGAAAAGATACATGGCATGACTAGAGTGATATGCAGACCTAATCCTGGTTCCCATCAAGAGAGAAAAGAAATCTCTGATCGGGGGAGGCGTGGAAGGGGATTGTTTTCGGCAAGTGCGCAACCGGCCTTGCAGCCTATAATAGACAGTGGATGGTACGCACCTTGTAGATTGTAGATTCGTAGATTGCCCTGAGAGAGCGGTCGAGCAGTGCTCTTTGCTTTGATTGGACACACCTAAGTAGGTAGTTGCTCCTAGGCTATGGCTTCGAGAGGCAGGTGTGTGATGTGAAGTGTTGGGAGTGTGATCAAGGACGAAAAGCTCGTCGTTGTTGTTCTCGTTGTATTCCTGGTTTATTTATACAAGACCAGGAAGAAAAGCTCCGTCCGTGGGTCGTTGCTGCTGCCACTTCCGATGCTGGGGTTTTATAAGAGCGAAGGGAAGGAGGGACGCGGCGGTTGTGTTGAGGAAGGAGGTAAGGAGGACTAAGACCGATAGCAGGCGGGCCACCCACGCAATTTGCGCCGCTACAATTCGACTTTCCAAGGAGCCGGGTCACAAGACGCCAGGAATTGGCAGGATGGGGGGATTCGGTTCGATTCGATTCGATTGCGCGAGCGGGGTGCTTGTCCTTTCCCCTGCTTCTGTTGCTGATGCGATACTACAACGGGCAACGGGCACGGTCAGCGGTGTGTGTCCTCTGCTAATGATGCTCCAAGCGATGCATCGAGCCGAACGGAACGATGGAAGAGACAAAGAGACGGGCTGCACAGAAAAGAAAGAAAAAAAAGGGCAACGGCCCCAGCCCGCCAGCTAGGGGAAGTTCCGGGGGCAGGCAGGGAGGCAATGCGTGCATCATCACCAGACCCCGACAGAAAAGCACAGCAGATGGAACACTGCCAGTGATCACTGGGCAATGCAGCTCCCGATGGTCATAGCCGGTGTGGGACACACAAGGCTCTGGCTTCCCCCTGGGCACTTCTTCCGTGTCACCTCTTTCGGGCTGGATCGTGTCTTACACCGTTCTCGAAGACGGCAAAGACTCGACAAAACCCACGGCGGTTACACGGGAAGAATCCGCCTTGTGTGCAAGTGTACAGGGACAGGGACCAAGGCGTGACAAAGGGTTCCGTCTTACTAGGCTTGGATCTCTTGTGGTAAGTAGGTGGTCGGCCGAGGGTTCTTGTAGGCTATATCAGAAACGATAGTCAGAACAAGTGCTGTTTACGAAGATACGATGTTACGAGGACAATGTTTAGGTCAGAGCTATAAGACTCAGGAAAGAATAGAAGCATCTCTGTCATCAACCACTCGGCGTGTCTTTCTACCTTTTATACCACTGTTACTCAGCCCTCATAAGCTCATCCCTTGTATTGCGGCCGTGTGTGTAAGCTGAGTGAGGGCCGTCCATCGGATTGAGGCACCGCCGCCAACTGCATGGGATGTCTCTGGATTAGGAAGATCCGTCTCCTCCTTCCCCTGCGAAGCTGTTACTATTTCGGAGAACTATCGGCCCAGCCAAGCGTTTCCGAGACCGCTTTATGAGCAATCTGCAAGATCGCTGTCCAACATAGGCATGCAAACATCGGAGGACGGTGGGCACGGAAACCTCGTGTGCGTTTGGAGGCTGTGTGAGATATGAGATCCCCTATCCTCGCAAGCTTTCAATAGTGGGGAGCTGAGCAAATTGCTCTGTCTTGGGAACTCTTAACAGGGGTAGCTCCCCACTGATGCCGCTGGATGACCCGCCCGGAAGTCCTGCTTGCTGCTCCAAGTGCTGAGGGGCTTTTGGAACGTTGGGTGCTCTGGGAGCCACTCGGAGCCCTGGGCATGGACAGGTGGTCAGAAGGGAAGGTGAAGCATCAACAGACCGCGCCATTCTAGCCCCAGAGCTCTGAAGATGCCAGCACCGGTCAGTGCAGCCGGACTAGCAGGCGACTAGAGGAGATAGACGGCGCCCGGGATGGCATCCACACGCTATGCAGGCCGGGGAAGCCCCTGGCTATCAGCTAGGCGGGTTGCAGTGCAGCAAGGCTAGCGTGTCCGGCATCTGTTGGCGAAGGAACACTTGTGGAATGCAATTTGCATGACCGCGTGGAAACTGATTGCAGTGTGGGGGCGACATTTTGCAGCAAGCAGCCCATCCCACCACAGCCGACTCCGAACCTAATGTGATTTCGTTCGCAAATCTCAGAGTCTCCGGTGACAACTGATAGCTCAAATGCCACCCCTTCCCAGGACAGAGGAAGCGGTGAGCGGTGTGTGTGCGGCATCAGGCAGGGATCTCATGCAACGGAGCTTTTGAGCCATCCAACGTGATGTATAGGAGCGGATACTTTCAGACCTACGGCTGGGAAGTGCTCCGAGTTGCGCTGAGCCAGTTATCTGATTCAGTTGCAACCTTGGCCGTGGTCGAGCAGACTGGGTTCAGCCTTAGGCATGCTTGTCACAAGGTTCGAGCGCGGGAGATGTGCAGCACATCACCACAGAAGCCCACCTTTCTGCCTTTTCTAGCGGATTGATCGGCTGCCCAGAAATTGCGTTCTGGCTCGGGTGTCCAGCTGACTCTTCATCAATATTTCGAAACTGCATGATACACGATGAACACGGTGACAAAGTTTCCAAAGATAGGAGATACCCTAAAACCTGAGTTTTAGAGTATTATGCCAGGTGTAGCGTAAGAGCCTTATTGAAATCGTCGGCAAGGACAGGGTAAGTTGAGTTTCACGCTATGTATCTTAGCACTTACGCTTAAGATAGCAACCAGCCTCTACTGCGAAAGGTACCCGAGTTTAGTCAATACGCAAACCCCAAACCTGATGTACAATCGTGAAAAAGTTAGAATCGAGAGTATCCAGTTCATCGGAGACAACTGTGTTGGTGGTGTCGTTTTGATGGGCTGTCTTGAACCTACGGATGTTTAAGCTGAAGAGTGTAGTTGGAGGCTCAGCGCTGTCGCCGAGGGGTTGACGAGTCATCTGCTATTGCGCAAGAAAGCTGTGCTCGTCACAGGGTCGCAAACCAGAAACGCCTTTGTGCCAGGCTTTTTGGGATACTGCGAGATTTTGTGCTGCCTTGCAGAGACTGATTTGAATGCTCACAGCCGCACATAGACCTCCTGCCAGGAAGCACCCGTCACGCGGCTCTAGGATTGGCAGATGCCGGCCGTGCATTGCGTGCGTATTTCCTCTGGTTGTTGCAGAATAATAGAAAATGAGCGGTGTGGTGTAACATGACAGAAGCTGAAGTTTCCCACAACTAATGGAAACTCCAAATCGCGGGGGCAGACATGCAGGCTCTCCCGCGCTTCCCTTCCGCGGGCGCGGGGCTGTTGGATCATGGGTAAGAAAGGAGAATTTTGTCCCGTAGCTAAAGCACACATCAGGACATGATTTGTGAGGTCCAAAAGGCACAAACGATGTCGAAGCCATCTGGATGCCATCGGACGAGAGTACTGGATCCGCAGTATCCGTCAACGATAAGTTCTTCTAAAATGGAAACTCTCAACGGCGATGTCGTTTCAAAATGGAGGGCGACTTGTGCTGCATCATGCAGAAAAGGCTATCCAGGTTTTCCATATCGCATTGCTGTCAGAGACGCGTAGTGTAGTATGGGTACCGGTAGAGGTGCAGGTGCAGGTGCAGGCGCAGGATAGCTTCGGATGCTGCAGCTCGTTTCAAACACACACCGACATCCGGTTTGCTTCAATGCCAGCATCCGGGAACGGGAAGTTCCCTGTATGTCAGTGTTCCCAAAGTCCATCTCATTTCCGGACCAGAAACCAAATCTTTCTCAGCCTCCTTCTCCCAGTGTTTCCACAATTGAGTGCTGACTTGGCCTTGCCTTGCAGCACGCGTCCATTCTCCATAATACTCATTCGTATCCATATTTCCTGTCCCTGTTGCGCTGCTGATCTATCTACGGTGCTGGCACATCCGCAGCGGGATTGCCTTAGATCCAGATAAGGACGAGATGGAAGGGCCAGGATACGTGATCTGATTGCTCCGGCCAAAGCTCGCCGTCTGACAGGCCCCAAGCGCGAGAACTTTTTTTCTGGTGTTGTAGTTGGCGATCAAAGGCCATCCCAGACTCGACACCAATGCAGTCCAAGTTTTGGTGTCTGCATACATGCATGCATGCATGCGAGAGAACAGGGGGTGGTACATTTGCAAAATCCCATCCGTGGCGTGCTTGATGTCCTTTTGCCTGCCCTCCACACCATCTTCTCATCTGTCCTCATGCACGCTAAAGGAAACCCTGTAGGTGCGTCTTGCGTCCGGTTTTGTCTCCTCCTGTCTCTTAAGATAGCTCTCCTGTCGCAAACGGACCTCTGTCGCCCTCAACAGGGATGCCGGTTGTTGGGAATTCGACAATTTGGGGGCGCCGTTTGTAAATTCATCACACCTGTCACCGACCGGTTGGACAACTCGTATGCTCGCTCCTTCCCCGGCAGACCGGCTTGACATCGGAAGTTTTGGACTTAAGCCAAGGTATCTTGCATTAAGCACTTCCGCAAAGGGAATGTGCAGTCGAAACCGCTGGGAAGGCATCGCCGCACCCAATAACTTTTTGAGAAACTGCGTGCGATGGAGGTGGTGATGCCTCGAGGATGGTCGCTCTTGCATCCTGGACAGCTTCTGGAAGCTTTTGCCTGGTGCAGGCGCGAAATCGGACAGGGCCTAGAAGGCCAGGACCCTTGTCAATTCCTGCTCGTGGGGGTGGAAGCTATGGCCACCACCTCGATCTTTCAATTTTCATGATGAGTGCAGATCCTTTTTTGCTCTGTCGATGTTAGGTCACGCAATTGATAGCAATGGAGCAATGATAGCAGTGCTGTGGCCACTTGTGAATTTGATAATCTGCGTCTCTGAACAAGAGCAAAGATAACAATTAGCTATGTACTTCAACTCTAGACTTTTCGGCTATCCCGTGAGGGCTCAAGGGCCGTAGTCAACTTATCTGATCTGGTGGCTGTTGAAGCTTGGAGGTCGTGATGGCATCACTTTTTGCCACTTTTATACCCCGACTTTGAAAGCTCAAGCCACGTGCAGGCCCAGGATGCAGCTGCCCCAAGCTCCAGCTGAATCCTCCGAGCCGTTGAGACTGGCGGGACCAGCCGTTCACGATCTGGGGTCTCGAAGGCTTGCTGCGGGCAAGATCTGTCATATCGTGTCTCACGGTCTAGACTCGGGCGCCCCAATCGCTCGGGAGGACTCGGAGCGGCCTAGATCGATCTGTCAGGGCTACCGCCGACCCGCAACAGGGGTTCACTGCCGAGCGCTGGAGTACAGTACCTGGAGAGACACAACGATGTCATTTTCAGAGATATCGTGGTGCTAAACTTGCAATTGTGGGCAATACTCGCCCTCTAGCTAAGCCATCGTATAGTACAATGCTCCATTCCGAACATGGATCCGGTCATCCTTGACCAATAGATAATCCAACAACCTCGACCTTTCCGTACCAGCGAACGCCATAGGGTATTCCTAGATTACATTTCAAGCCTGGAGCTTGAGCCCTGTCCATAACGCATGTGAAAGCAAGCCTTCCCCAGAAAAGGCAGCCAACCTTGTAAGGCTTATGCCGTAGACAAGGGGCCAAGACCTCTAGGCCTCCCTCCGCCTCAGTCATCAATCAATTGGATAAGTGACGTGATGTAGCCGGATAACGCCTTATTCTCCACCATTATCTCGTAGAGGCGCGGTAGCAGAGGGCGGAACAATCGCTCATTCCAACCGCCTCCCTCGCCGCCCATTTCGTGCTCCTTCAGCAGCTGCTCCTCTGACTCGGTCTTAACGACGTTTCTCGCAATGTTGCGGAGGACCAATACCGCACTTAGAGGAGTTCCCGCAGCCTGTGGGGGAGCGTTTGGATTGCGCTCGTCTCGAGTAGTCTGTGTCTCCTCATACACGATGCTGATGGTCCTGGCGGGCACGATGTGAGCCCTCTTCTTTGGCTTACCGCTACCACCGTTGATGCTGTCCAGCAGAGCGTTCGTCTGGCCCTCTCCCTTAGCCTCAGACCTAGGGTTGATCTTGCCGTTAACAGCCTCGAGATGGGTTTTGACGTGCTGCATGAGTTGCATCAGATGCATCTTAGTCGGTGTGGCATACTTCTTACAGCCAGCCCAGCGACACTGGTACTCAGTCTCTGTGTTGGGATATCGCTTGTCCTCGCCACGTTTCTGCCCGAGGTGCACCTCCAAGATATGATTGAAGGCTTTCTCCGTATCGTTGAAGTACAAGTTGCATTTTTGACTGTACGGGCGGTTCGGGAGCGACCACAGACATCGCCAATACTCCACACCCTCCGGATCGACGGGTCTTGTTCGAGCTCTTATGCCCTTGATGATGAACTTTTGAACCTCGCCGTCCCTGATGATCTGCGCGCCAGCATGTGTCCACACCATGTTGACATTTCTGATAAATTCTGCTGGTGAGATCATGGAGCGGCCCATTTGCTGAAGGCGTGCCATGAAAGCTTGCTGATAGGCAGACCAAATTGCTATTTGTGTGATCGCCGCATCAGGTTCTTCCTCAAAGAGACACTTCAACCACGTGTAGCACCTCTCGGGCTCTTCCAAAGACAGCAGACGCTCTTGAAGGTCTTGTGGAAGGGGCAGGACGTCGTCGGAAGCAGGCAGTCTTCTCTCAGGCACAAGAATCTGCTCTTTATGAACCTTTTTCGCCCCATGGGACAGTAAGCGAACCAGATGGGCGACAAGGTCCTCAGCTTTGATGGCTTTGAGAAGAGTCTCGACATTAGGAACGACGGCCGTATATTGATAGAGAAAGTCGAGACATGCATCCATCAGGTCATCATCGTTAAGAAGGAGCCAGGTCGTGATGTTCTGAAGATTGTTCGGCGGCACATTTCCAAGCTTATTCGCCTCCGTCAGGTTCATACTGATTCTACCAATAGCCCGGAGAGAAGTTAGGATGATACCGCGGTCTGTCGAGTCCAGCTGAGCGATCAAGGTCCGGTACAGAGGGTCGTCGGCATCTAGGATCAAGGATGGTGTCAGTTGCTCAGCGATGTCGAGAGCAAAATGCTTAATCTCCACGGTGGTTTCGCTAGATGGCAAGTGAAGGATGATGCAGAGCAAATCTTTCAACGGAGGAAAGTCTGCCATGAAAGCCGCGTTCTCGGGTAACTGGACCATATTTCGAATGGTCAAAATGGCCTCAGTAATGAGAAGCATCTGATCAGCGAAGGCGGCTGGCACAACGTTATCTTGAATATCACGCGCTTGGTCTTGGAAATATTCTAAGCGCTCGAGAATGTCCCAGGTGCCGTTGACACCATCCAGCTCTTCGTAGCCTCGGCCGTCTGCCCACTCCTCATCGTACACAATCGTCCAGCGAAGGTTTTTGTAAAACAGCTCGGAGACTTGAAGCGCTTTTTCCACGAGTCCCTCGGCGAGACCCGGAAACGAGTCAAATTTGTACTTGTCTCCTCGCTCATAGCTGATCTTAACAAGATGGTTGAGTGCGAACCCCTCCTCGGCAAGGATATTGGAGCGGAGGGCAGCCAGGCAGCGGACATAGATATTTGGGCCCTCAAATCCTGTTACGGCATATTAATAATAATTCTGGTGACGAGAAAAGGGCTCATGATCCTTACCAGGGGGTGGAGGCTGGCGGGCGAGCATTTGGCCATTGTAGCCTGCAGCTTGCAGTCGCTGTATACGATGTCGACGAGCGAACTCCACCGGATTGTTTCCTGGAGTATCGACAGGGCGAAGTGGGATCGGGACAGTGCCTCGAGGCTCCCAATTCTGCACCGTTGACGAGAAGTTTTCATTGGGCGGATTCCAATGTAGGGAAGCGCCTCGAGCAACATGTTGCTGAGGGTTATGCATTGCTTGCCCATGGCCATGTGCTTGTGGTGGGAGGTGAGAAAGGGAGCTTGACTGAGACGGAGTATGAGTGTTTGGGGTTGCGCTTCCAGGTATGGCATGCTGGCCTGAGCCGTGACGGGTTTGGCGGGTCGAACCCGTATCGGGCTGGAAGATGACTCTCTGTGGAGGGGCTTCTCGCAAACCACGTGAGGCTCTGCCGGAGCTTGGAGTCTCCTCAGGGCGCCGTTCTCTGGAAGGAGTGGCATCGTCACCGGAAGCCTGGGGAGAGTTGTTGGCTCGATTGATGTTATGACCGAAGTTCTCGATAGTGCGGGTCAACAAGGATCCTCCCTTTGCACTTGTGTGCTCCAAGATTTCAGGGGGGGGAGGCTCTTGGTTGTGTATTGTTTTAATCTCATACGCAGCCAAGTATTTGTAGAACATCTGCTTGAGCTGAAAGGCAGTTGAGGCCTCGTTATTAGAAAAGAGACCTAATCCGGCGGCCATCTTCCGCCAAGCCAGCTTCTCGTCGGTGACCTTGTCATATCCGCCATTCTCAACGATATGATTAAAGGTCTTCAGGAGATCCACATGAGTAGTGCCAACCTTGGGCTCAGCGTCAAAATGGGTGCCTCGTGCCTCGTGAAAAGCTCGGAGCTTCTCGATGAATTCGTTGTACTCGTCGGTTCGGTCGATCGTGTGGACATTCTTCTGGGGCGCCATCTTGGCTCACAGCGCCACTGAAAGAATGACTTTTTCAGCAGTGTCGCGCGACCAAAATGAAGCTATGGGAGGACTGTTCAAGGGTGGAGGTGGTTCGTGATGTGTTGTGATGGGAATGGAAGGAAGGCGACGGTGGAGAGGACACAACACGAAGCTGTCGCAAGGTGGTGGTGGTGGTCGCGGATTTTTTGAGACGCGGCTGAGGACACGCCAGAAATGGGTACTCATTGAGCCAATCACCGTGCCTTGATGGCCTGTGCACACAACTTTGGAGGTTATGGCCGGGCAAAATTGTGGGTCAAGCTTCCCCTAGAGCTTGTCACTGCCGTCAAGCTTGTCTGCCAGCTGCATGCTTCGGGCTTGCCTGCTATTGCATTGAAGCCAAAAAGTCAATAGGAACATGTTAACTACCTATGTACCTAGATAGATGCATATAATTATCGAAGTCAAATGTTTCTTTCATCATCATAGCCCTTCCCGCTGATGGATGATCCAACCCGCCTAAAGTATACATGGGTGAATACACATTTGAAAAGGGAAAGTACCCGGGTATACCCTTACCATTTGCTCAGGTATGCTCGAATTCATAGGATACGAACATCATCAGAGGGAAGGCATGAGCGAGGTTCCTGAGGAAGGTGCCTGATGCGTTCTTGCCCAACCTTGAAGACGCCGCAACCTACTTCCCCCAGCAAGAATTCCTCAAAAATTAATATGCAGAAAGTGCCCGTATTGCCTTACATCTCAATGAAATTCAAGCCATACTCACTACAAGCTTTCAAAGTCTCCACTTGGCATTGTACGTCTGCTGAGAGCAGTGCTCTCCCATGAGACAGTACTAGGATTCTCATGACTCCTTTTGGTACCGCTCTAACCTAGTACTTACTCCGGGAGCATTGGGATCCTTCACTTTGCCACCATAAGCATGGTTGCGTCTAGTGGTCTATTGCGATGGCAGTTCTCCATATCCAAGCTCGTGATAGACGGAAAGCCTCACTTGCAAAGGCGAGATCTCACACTGACTATCAAGGAGGAACGGCGAGTCGGCAACGGCAACGCCTGGACGGATCCATCTGCAGAGGTAGGCCGTAATGTTGTTCTCTTGCTATACGACGGCCTGGACCAATTAGTAAGTGTTGCTGTCCACTTATCTTGATCCGTCTTATCAACAAACCGCAGGAGGAACTCAACGTCGATGTCTTTGTTCAAGGGCTTGCAGATGGTCGAATGCCCAATTATAGTCTAATTTGCAGTCCCGACGACTGTCGGCTCCATCTGTCCTTTTGGAGAAGAAGAAAGACCAGCAATGATGACACATCCTCCGACGTAATCTGTGGACCATCGCCGCTGGAAAATGAGGAAAATAATGCAAGTCCTTCAGTCTTGACTATATGGATGTTGTCTGACTAGAGGGGTACAGGACTGCGAGTTTCGTACATACGACATTTCCTTGAAAACAACATCGGATTATGATTCAGCGAAATATGCCCTTTCAAAAAAGTTAAAACTCACCTGTCAGGATAGCAGTGGTCGCAGAGAAGGAATGCTTAGATCCCAGTCTGGCATGTCACAATCGTCAGGGACAAATATGACTCCTTCAAGCTCCCAAAGCTCTTCAAGTCAGATGAACAGACTCAATACGCAATTTGCTATCCCTCGTCGTCCGGCTACACATTCGCCATCTCTGTATCTGCCCCGAGGACCTTCACCAGCTTTTGCTATTTCTCCGGTCTTAGGTCTCCCTAGACAGTCTCTCCATACCCAGAGAACTGTGAGTTCGCAAGACATTAGACGCCATAGTGGCCAAACATCTCTCGGCGCCTTCAAGATCCCACAGGCAAGGCAATTATACCGGCTTCCATATGGCTCACATGCAAGCACTATCCCCGCAAACATGTTTATGGATGATTTGCGGCGAAGAACACCTGCTATAAGTAGATCTGTTTCTGCTATCTTGTCAGAACCTAGCAGCAGCCCTTCATCAACGTCAGAATTTTCGAAGACCTTGGGCTTCTCACGGCCAAATTCTCAGCCACAGCAGTATATCAAGGAGGCTGAGGGTACGATTTCGAAGAATCCAACATTCAGCAGCCTTAGCGACAATGTCAGCAGCTCTCAGCAGCCCCCACCAAGAACATTGCCGTTTGGATCAAGTCGGTCGTCTAGTCCTATTAGACCATCATACACGGCTGGCTTATCGAGAACGCCTTCAATTTCGACACCGTCGCTTGACTCACACTGTATGATGACAAATGACAGCAAAGAAACCGAAAGACAAGCGTCTGGAGAACGGCCAAGTATGTCGCGGGAAATGATAAAGGCAATGCGGGTGATGGATAATCCAGGGACAACCGTTTTAAGACCGCGAAAGCGCGTGCGACGTGGAAGTAACCCAAATTCAACAGACTTACTCTTTGAGTCAGCTCCTAGTAGCTCGAGGCCACAATCTAGACCTTCTTCGATTGGTGGTCGTAATTGTGGGAACCAGGATACTTGTTCCAAAGATGATCGAAGAGTGGAATCTTTTGAGAGTACAGAAGCACGACAAGGCAAGAGCTATAAAGAGTTGGGAGATGCTCTTCTTGGACCACACGACCGACATGTTTCAGAGACCGATGCGCCAGGAGAGGGCGATGATGAATACATATCGTCTCAACAGTCTACGGAAGTCAAACCACAGTTCCTTAGTCAGGTACACAGGCTACCGTGTCACGGAAACGAACTCGAGATACCCAAGCAATATCAGAATGCTGAACTGGATGCTGTGCAAGTAGGCTTGGATGCGTTTCGCCGTCTGAGTATGTTAATACAGGATGTCAACATCGCAAATGCTATTAAAGACGACCTGATGGAGGAAGCTGAAGGAGTTGCAAGTGTTCTTGCCAAGAATGCCGACGAATTAGCGTCAGTAGTTGAAACTTACAGTGCGGAGTTCGAGGCGAGAGTACGAAGAGCATGTCAAGGGCCGCTTTCTGGACTTCTGTGACATCTGATATGCTCCACTGGAAGGCAAGTCGTTCATAAATTGGCTGAAACTAAGATCATATCAAACCGTGCTTATAGCTTCATCAATAGATTTGAGTAATGCCATGGGAGGAATCTGGCTTCGATATAGGAGATAGCTCTGGGTATAGAACCATGGATCTTGTCCATCCTCTCAAAATATCCTGTCATTTCCTTCATCGCCCGACCGAGCCAACGTGACCTCGCATCATATCATTTGCTGATCGTGTCCTCTCCACCCTTCAACCGTTGGTAATGATCTCTATGGAGCTCTGGCTTGCAATGTTAGATTCGTGCTCCACTAAGCGCTTATGTCTTTCTGATGATGACACAGCTTCAATATGTCAGTATCTGAGATGTCTAGGGTTCATGAGGTTGCACTCACTTGCAATTAACTTAGAGGCTATTTGGTGTGAAATGGCAAGACGAATGTGGTTCTCTTCGTCTTCGCCGATTGACTTCTGATCGTTCACAGGCTCAGCGGCAGCCCGCTGATGCTCCTCACAATTCTTGATGTCGTTCTAATCGCTGCTGGAGTACTCAGAGCCACACGCGCGAGCCTTGCGCTCGTCGTCGCGGGAGTCGATGTGCAGTTTGATGGCATCGATGCGCATCGTACGCAGACCCTGGTGCTTGAAGATCGTGGCGCGATACTTAGGGGTCGGAGGCGTGATGCGCAGGAAAATCTGGCCGCCTCTCTTGAAGGAGCTGACCTTCGGGACATACTTTCGCTTGGGCTTGGTGATGCCAGCAGCAGCAGCGGAAGCCTTCATGGCGGCGATGGCGAGACGGAGTTCACGATACGGGTCCTCGTCCTCCTCACGGGTATTGAACTCCATGGAGACACCGTCGACAGGCTTCAGCTGGTGGGTTTTGTTGGAAGTGAGGGTAGCCATCTTGCTTCTGTGGAAATGAGAGCTTGTGAGATCAAAGAATAGGGGCTTGATGTCTGCTCGAGATGGATGGGAATCGAAGGTGACTGTGTGAGAATTGCTATCCTCGATTTTAGGAACGCAATTGGGAAGAAGATATGAATCAAATTGACTTGTGTTGAGGTCGGAGATTGTATGATGAGGGGGTCGAATTATGCCGAGATGGTTCGCGGGATCCAACAAAATATATATGCGCAAGACCCGGGGTCAGAACAATAGCTACGCAGCTATTGTATACCTTTTCAATAACGGCGGGCGGAGAAGAATCAGGGGCACGAGATCGAGTCTGTTTGTCAAGCTTAATCACTTGAATAGCAATAGAACAATGCGAATTCAGATTGGCATCAGCTGAGCACCAGGACTGCGCTGGGCTAATTTGGGGAATCTATTATATATGCATCTCTTCCTGCCTGTCCAGTGACATTAGACACAATGAGCATATTGATGAGGACCAAACTCACGTGTGGACCTCCTGAAGATTTAACCAGGAAAGTCGTAGCTTTAATGCAAGACGTATCATGATCTTTTGTAAAGAGCATAACTCGGCATCCGTTTTTAATGATGATGGATATCTCGTTTCTCATAACAATACTTTCTAAAGCTAATTTACACTTTGCTCCCTGTAGTATCCTCCTTCTGAACTGGTTTGTCGTCTGGAGAGAAGTTCAGGCTGACACTGTTGACGCAGTGCCTCTCATCGGTGGGGGTCGGGAAGCCTTCGCCCTTGAATACATGGCCCAGGTGACCACCGCAGTTGGTACAGACGATCTCGGTGCGTACCATGAAGTGACTCTTATCCTCGTGGCGAGTCACCGCACCGGGGATGCTGTCAAAATATGCCGGCCAGCCGCAGCCAGACTTGAACTTGTGGGTGGCCTTGTACAGAGGCGCGTCGCATCCTGCGCATGTGTAGACGCCGTCAGAGGGGTAGTGCTTGTCAAACTTGCCGGAGCCCGGCGGCTCAGTGCCCTTCTCCCGCAAGATACGGAATTGCTCTGGGTACCTTGTTAGCATCGAGTCCTGGCAGGGGAGGATTTAAGCTTAAGCGACGAGCCGATCTTACCTTTGTTCAAGACGGCGCGCCATTCGTCAGGCGTCCTCTGATCGGGATGTGACATTGTTTCAGCCGGGGCTTTTGAACTGAAGAAGCTTCCAATCAATGGAATTGATGGCATAGACTTGAGCGTGGTGTTTCGCGCTGAGAGCGAATTCAGAAGTGGCTGCTGAGAAGCTCGGAGGCGAGTGAAGTTGGAGATAGTGTAGAATGTGCGAAGAACTGTCGAGAATTGAGGAAAGCGCATGAAGAATGATGAGATACAGAATATTGTAGACTGTGGAAAAGACGAGGAGATGACTATATACGCGCTCTACGTGTTTGTGAAATTGAAAGCTGAAGCTGAAGCTGGCCTTTCTCTTGCTGTGAAGCACTTACAAATCTTTGAGGCTGTACTGCCGGCGCAATCGATGATGGAACCGTCTAGCTGGATGCTGGGAATACGCCGCCCCGTGGGTCGTTGCGTCAAAGATTCCAGTGTGGCTTGTCCCCCACTGGCCGCTGTCATTACAGGGTGTCTACCGCTAACACACACAGCTAGCCGAATACGCTCTCGGCTCTTGGGTGCACGGACCACATGGGCTCTTTCGTCATTCATTGTTCTCTTATCAGCTACGGACCATTGATTTTGCGCCACAGAAAGGATTCTTTGCCTTAGGAAGGAAGCACCCCCCTCCCACTATACCCTTAGGTAAGCCTGGAGGTCCTGTTTCGCAGACCCCCATACCTTACCGACTCCAGGTAGCCAATCTGTGCCCCCTTCCAGGCTGTCCAGTATTCCAAATTAATTTGGCACGCGATCCCACAACTCAAATCGCTCGCGACACACGGCCACCTTTTGACTGACATATACAATTGGATTATCACAGCAGTGGCCTTGGACTCTGACCCCCGTCTAGATTTCCGGCGCCATGTCCAGACGGGCTCCGAATCCAGCTGCGGAGCGGGCAGCCAAGAACCAGCAGACTATCAAATCCCTCCTCAAATTAGAGCCCAACAAGGTCTGCGCTGACTGCAAGCGCAACAAGCGTATGTGCATCTCTCAACAGGATGATACTTGACGTTGGAAAGCCTGACTCTTTCTATAGATCCACGATGGGCTAGTTGGAATCTGGGTGTCTTCATCTGTATCCGATGTTCGGGCATCCACCGAGGAATGGGCACCCATATCAGCCGAGTCAAGTCGGTCGATCTCGACTCCTGGACTGATGAGCAACTACAGAGTATTCTAAGTTGGGGTAACGCGCGCGCAAACAAGTATTGGGAAGCGAAGCTGGCTCAAGGACATGTGCCCTCCGAGTCCAAGATCGAGAACTTTATCCGCACGAAATATGAGCTGAAGAGATGGGTTATGGATGGACCGATGCCTGATCCAGCTACCCTGGACGTCGATGGGGATGACGATGTGCCGCTCAGCATAGTGAAAGAGAAGCAGACACTCGATAGGAAAGAATCTATTCGGAAGGCGTCCTTGGGCCAGTCATCAGCTCCCGCACAACCACCACAGGCCGACCTCATTGGGGGCGATCCAATCCCTCAACGCGCAAGCACAACAGGCCCAGTTGCCTCAAAAGTTCCCCCGAAAGCTGAACCAGCTGCGCCGAAGACAACCAACACGAAGGACTCTTTGCTCGGTCTCGACTTCCTCGGCTCAGAACCGGCACCACCACCGCGACCAGCTAGTACAACGGGCACGGGGGGAACGGCAGGCCAGTCGCGACCTGACTTGAAGCAGTCTATTCTATCTCTTTATGCTAGTGCTCCGCGTCCGCAACCTCAGCAGACACAATCATCTCACGCTCCATCCGGTTCCTTTGGCGGGCTGCAGTCCCCGGGCCAGCAACCGCAGTCATCTGGAGCTGGCTTGACCGATGCTTTCAGCAGTCTCAGCTTCTCCAGCACATCCGGACCCAAGAGCCCACAAAGTTCGGCCTTCTCAGGTCTAGGTATGCCCAGCAACCGGTCGACTCCCCAAGCATCATCTTCAGCATTCTCTGGCTTGAGTGGTGGGAGCTTTTTCGATGCTAAGCCAACTCCATCTGCCCCCTCTCATCAGACAAAGCCATCCTTTGGAAGCTCGGGGGGCTTTGGTGGCTTCGCCTCACCAGCTCCTCCTCCCAAGCCATCAGCAGCTCCGGCCTCATCCGCCATGGCCGATTTATTCGATTTCTCTAGCCCTGCGCCGGCTCCGGCACCAGTACCGGCGCCAGCCATTTCTACCCCTTCTGCCGGTCCAAACTCCGTGTTCAATCTCTCTTCTAACCAAGCAAAATCACCACCTGCTACCACTCCAGCCGTCTCGAACCCTACGTCTTCGTTTAGCTCGACCAATTTTTCCAATGCAGACGTTTGGGGAGATAATGCCTGGGCTGCCCCGGAGCAGGCTAGCAAACCGGCCGTGAAGAGCCCTGAAGCGACAAAGACAAATGACTTTGGGTGGGGAAACACAGGCGGCGCGTTTGCCAGCACACCAATTGTTCCAGGGGCTTCGGGTGGGTTCAACCCAGCGCCCAAGGTCGCTGCAGATGAAGAGTTTGGTGGTTGGACGAGCAGCACGGGAGGAAACACATCAACCAACACCAAGCCCGCTGCGGGCTTTGGGAATAGCGAGGATTTGTTCTCGAATGTTTGGCAGTAGAGTCAGTACCACTCGTTCAAGAACCAGCTCTCATGAAATACAGTCATATAGTTGAAGAAATCAGTGGGGCATCCGCTGGATACGACAAAAGCATATGCTCGTTGCACGATCATGATAACGGCGCGGCATGTTATGTTAAATTGCACCCCTTGATAGACGAGGGAGAAATTGAAACAACAGAATCAGCGAACCTCTTCGATTTGTGCGAATAATTTTGCATTTGTCTTTGTACAATCCCAGTCCTGCGACGCCTTTGCAATGCACCATTCAAACGTGTCCGCCTCCTCAAGATAGTAACTGCCATCTTATAGGCAGACCACGATTCATAACCCAGGGCTCATACATAACTTGCTTCCTCGCTATGACCTGCATCTGTTTCATGTGGGCGGTCTAACGCCGGCTTTTTCTTGTATACAGTACCGTGAACAATTCTATCATTCTGATGGTCTCAAACACCTGGGTTTCAATGGCTCCATCGGCTTGCTGGCGGCTTGCCTTGCACCAATCTTCTCGGGTCCATCGACATGCTACTGGCATTAGCTTCGGATTGCATGCTTTACTCAAGCCGTTGTGTCCTATATCAGCGCCAGTCCTTCCCAGGCTCCAGGCGTTAAAGTTTTAACCCGCTTCCGTGGCCGTTTAAAAGAACAGCTTCGAGATGTAATATAGGGCGATGAATACACCGACGATAATGGCAGACAGCTTGAATATCGCGACCTTGTTCCCAGACGCTGCCATGCGTCCTAGCCTGCCAGCGGAACCTTTGATTTGCGTCGTCATTGAGGAAAAGGTGTCGGACTGATCGGAAAGGTCAGGTCAGCAATTGCATGAGTTGTTACGGCCTAGGGGCAGAGGACTGTGCCTCGGAGTAGAAGTTGCTGGATGCGTACCGTCGAGTCGATAACGCCTTGCTCCCGCGCATTGTCGTAGATGTCAATGGTCACGCCTCGCAGCGCAGAGACCTTGGCCGACAGCTCGTCCAGGCGCGAGTTGTTCTGGCGCTCGCGCTCGTACGCTTCGGACATGATGGAAAGTGGCTCTTCTGTCTCGACTCGCCGAAGGGTGGCAACGTTGAATGAGTGTTGGAGAGGTCGGTGGTTGTAAGTGTTATTGCTGATGCATATGGTTTCGCTCGCTAATTTGGATCGCAAGCGAAGGTCTGCTTGTCGTGGAAGTCGAGGATCGTCGGATGGTTAAGGGGCGAATGACGATTGTCTCGAGAAAGATGCACCGCCACAGATGGATACGTAGTTTGGTCCGGCGCATTCACGGCACGTGCCACGCTAATGGTGGGGAGCGGAGAGCTCAACTCCTCTAAAGTCCATTAAATAGGTAAATGTCAGACTCAGACTTATTGAGGGATCAGAAGCTTGCGACGCGTGGCGAGCGGGAGGCCTTTTCGTCAACCATTTTTTTGATATATTAAATTTAGACAAAGAGCTGCACTTCTACAGTTTGTTTCAAACTGCTCGGTTCTGAACCTTTGCTTCCAAACCGTTGACTGGAGCAACTTTATGTGTCTCATAAGGCCATAGTGGACTAACACGACCCAAGGCGCCCAGCCGCACTCCTCCAACCCCACATTGACTTACCATCCTGCCTTCACTAAATAGCATTATTTCCTTCCGGCTTCCGGGCTTCCCACCACCACTCCACACCACACTTCACTCATATCTCGCCTATCTTGACGACCTCAAAGTCTCGGTTTTGCGCCTGCTCCCTACGATACAGAGACAAGCCCCTGCTCGAGGCGTAGTTTGACACCGTATCAGCAGCCATGGGCATCAACAATCCTCTCCCCTCGTCTATGGCGTGTAAGTAAACCCCCGCTTCTCAGCCTCTTAGGCACCCAATAGCTCCAACCACATGACTGACGTTTTCTACCCAACAGCGGAGTGCAAGAAATGCGGCAAGATTTTGACCTCGTTCGTCGATCCCCGACAAGCCTTCGGGCCTGACAAGGTCATTCCGCCCTCTGTCCTCGCCTCTGCGCGGGGTCTCGCCATCCTCACGGTTATCAAGGCCGGCTTCCTCGGCTCCGCCCGATTCGGTAGCGGCCTCGTTGTCGCACGTCTTCCTGATGGCTCTTGGAGCGCACCGAGCGCGATCGCGACTGCTGGTGCGGGTTTTGGTGGCCAGATCGGTTTCGAGCTGACCGATTTCGTCTTCATCCTCAACGATGCCAACGCAGTCAAGACGTTTTCGCAAGCTGGATCCCTCACTCTAGGAGGCAATGTGTCGATCGCAGCTGGCCCGGTAGGCAGAAATGCTGAAGCTGCTGGCGCTGCGAGCTTGAAGAGTGTGGCCGGAATCTTCAGCTACAGCAAGACGAAGGGTCTCTTTGCCGGCGTGAGTCTCGAGGGTAGCGCAATAGTGGAGCGGAAGGATGCGAATGCCAAGCTCTATGGACGACAAGTCAGTGCCAGGGAGCTTTTGACTGGTTCTGAGAGGCCACCTCCTCAGGCAGGACCGCTGATGAGCATTCTGAACTCCAGGGTGTTTGCTGGTGCACGCCAGGGCTCCTTCGATGACGGCATGTACAACGACATTCCAGTGTATTCTGACCAGCATGACGACGTTGTTTGGAACGGTCAGCGTGGCAATGCGTATGGGGAGGGTCAAACGAGGAGCAGCATGTACGGTGGATCGCAAGATCGGGGCTTTAACGACAATGGATATGGCGGACCGAAGCGAGCAACGACTTGGCAAGATGATGTGTATGATCAGCCTCGAGGATTTGGCTCAAGATCGAACACGTTCCAAGATGTCACAGTGCCCCGCGAGTATCAACAACCTGAAGAGAAGAAGGCCGGTCCAGGACGTCCAGCAGCGCCAAAGCCGAACTTTGCCAGCAAACAGGCGCTGCTGAAAAAGAATGAGGCCGTCGCCTTGTTTACGTTTGAGGCAGACCAACCTGGTGATCTGGGCTTTAAAAAGGGCGATATCATCACTGTCCTGAAGAAGACTGACAGCGAGAATGACTGGTGGTAAGTAATGTTCGCATCTGGATATTCTCAAGAGCAACTCTAACTCGTTTAGGACGGGCATGATTGGCACAAAGCATGGGATTTTCCCAAGCAACTATGTGAAGTTGAAAGAGTAGGCTTGAACCAAGGCGTTTCGGCGGCATTCAAGGAGAGGGAGATTGAAAACCGGCGGATTGACGAGTCTTCTTTCATGACTATCGATTCCTTATTTTCTCTTAGGACAGGCATTAAGCAGAGCACAATCTGGGCCTTGTTTCTGGTCATTTTCGGGGCTTAGCTCATTGCAAGCTTGGCGTTCAGGTTTAGAAATTTAAAGCAATTTTGTCCTCATCGATCTTCACCTCTCCTCACGGAAAGCCCGATACCTCCTTGGATACGAACACAGAGATGCACTATGTTTGGGCTCTGATAGCATCTGCTAGATATCGCACATACTTCTACGCCATCAAATGAAGCTCAGATCAACACCCCCTGTATTACCATACGTCTAATGCCGTCTACACAAGGATTTAACTTTTAATCCGGCCCCTTGGCCTAGAAATGACAATGTACAGAACCTTAATCAAAGTTCTCCGGGCAGTATATCATTATTTTTCTCTCGTCGTCCCAGTGACGGAACCGCTCAACTTTGCGGTCCCAGACCCAATAACCATCATCGTCATCATTAGCATCCTCCTCTTCTTGACCATTGAGCATCATATCTGCTCCGAACCAATCACTTCTGGACGACATATTACATTCCGACAGGGTGTTCTCCCCTGAAACATTTTCCTTTTCAACCGCCTTTTGAGTGGTGGAGGTCTCTTGTCCCTCGAGAGCCGCCACCGATTTCTGTACATACTCCCCAGTATTAAGGGCAATCTGGGAGATGAGACCGGAACTGATAGTCTTACAGGCTTGCTCGCCGTAGCCGCCTTTCATTTCGTAAAAGCAATTATACCCTGTTGAAACAGAGGTGCCTGTCGTGTCCGAAGGCGGCCAGTAGATGGCTTCACTGAGAACGCTTGCGCGTGAGCTCTCTGGCGGCGATGCTGCGAATGGAGCTGGTTCTTGGATTCCCGTGGTGTTTGAATGATCCCACGCCACGTGGTCCAGAGTTCCAGCAGGAGAGCTCGTGAGGACCGTCCGGGTGTAGCTAGTGCCACGATATCTTCGGGGATTTCCAAAGCAGGATGGCTTTTTACTGAATGGAGATTCATTATCCTTTGTTGCATCGCATTCCTTGCGTTTCTTGGACTCAAATTTTAATAAAGGCCGACTTGGAGGAGGACACAAGCTTGTCTCCTGGATGGGGACCTGGTCCCGAATGGGTAGTTGAAGTTTAATTTTGGCCCAGACATCTGTCATTGGGTCACGCGTGATCGCAACTACGAAATTGACCATGTTGAATTGCACGACGGTCACCGCCACGGTTCCCGGTTCACTGTTGATAGGAACGCCGGATAGCATACGGTATACTTCCTGGGTGCAGACGGATCTTGTGTCCGTGAGGCCGTCCATTCTCTGGCCTATTTCTATGGCTGAATGAATTCTGCTCTTGATCACAGAATTGAGAGCTTCAGCCGGAATTGGAAGGATGAAACTTGTTGTAACAGCAAAAGGACGCTGAGAGCCTTGAACCGCGTGTGGAAGAATCCCGCCACTTGTAACAGGCACTCGCAGCAATACCATTCTATTTGCAGCCATCCTAGCACTACTATTAGCGATACACGTTACGATTGATGCCGACAGCGACTTACTGGAAATGTGATGGATGCAATCAAATTTCGGGTCTGGGAAGCTTCTCCATGCACATTGTATTCGTTGACTGAGAGTCAAGACAAAGGATCATATCTCTACAAGAAGGATCACCTTCCATTGACTATCTTGATGCTAGGAACGAGAGCTGCCAGCCCAGGAAAAGGTTCAAATGGGGGTTCAAAGATGCTTCTCTCTTGATACACTTTATAATTCATGACATACGCCAACAAAACAAAAACAAAACTTCCTACAGAGCCAGTCGAATGACTTCCCGTTCTGCTCCGAGGCTCCTCCGGCAAATGATGGCTTAAAGCGGCACATGAAGCATTACATCCATTAGGCTGCGACAATCTGAACAGCCTCGCTCTCATTGTTTATGCTTGCATAACTCAGCTGCATCTCGGCAGGGCAAGCCTGTGCGTCATTGACTAACTCGAAAGAGTTTCTGCAACAGAAGAACGGGGGCTTATATCAAGCCTCGTTTGGCTAGAGACCCCGAGCCGCCGAGCGCGGTGGGGTATAGCAAAGTTGTCGCAAGGTGGCTCAGCATTCACCTCACCGAGCGTAACCGAGACAAGAAGATCACTCAGGCAATTCAATCACTAATCGCGGCATGGGCTCGGTCGCTTGCAAGGTGAGACCATAGGTAAGCATGGTGGATGGGCGAGGCTACGACCTTAGACTGGCGATGTTAACCGCTCTCCAGGGCAGTTGATGCAAGTGGAATTCCACAATAATGGAATATCGACTTCCGTATTCTCCCTCTTTTACATCTCGAAAGGGAAAATCACCTAGGAACCGCAGGTATCCGAAATTCCCTCTTTCGCACTGATTCCAATCTTGGTTCTTCCCCAAGTGTTCATGGAATTACCCACACAAGCTGGGCAATTGGTTCTAACGCCGAGCCAATAAGCAATGGTATGAGTACAGCTCAGGTTCAACTGCTAGGCGAAACTACTGTTGCTGTGAGTACGGGACCATCCGGGAGTTGAGGAGCCTCGCCGCCCTGCATTCGGTAACCCTGCTAGTTTGACCCAAGCCCCCAGGCGATTCGCGAATCACAGTGTTCAATCCTCCTGTGCTGTAATAGTGAACTGAGGCTATGTCAATATAGACAATGTGGGATTTTCAACTTCTCGCAGTTATATTCCGCCAAACCATGAGGGGCAGATCTGAGATCCTGCGGTTATCCCCCGCTAGGTGTAGGAATAAGGCTATCAATATGGTCACATTACCACAGGTCAAGGAAGCAATCTCAAGCCAGGACGCCTCATTTCAACCCGACGACACCACACCTTGAGAAGATAGACCGCGGCTCACCGTCTCCGGTGGTCGGCAGTTTATGCGTCCTAGCCTATGACTAACACTTCAATGCTGGAAAATGATAAAACTTGAGTGCGTATTCTAGTTGGCAGCTTCCTTCTCTTGATCATGCAGAGTTCTATAACATCTTTCTCCTCTTGAAGTGCTTCACGAAACTTAGGATGTTGAATCTTCCTGTTGGCTCTTTCGATCTACACGGATATTGAGGCCTCGTTTTTTCTTTGAACGGCAAATGGGCCACTTCTATTCTGCGTATTTGCAAGCCGGAGTAAGAATGCTTGGCTAAAATCCACATCATACCTTTGTTCGAATACCCATATATTAGATATCTCGTGACCATCTGTTTGGTATGGATCGAAAACGGAAGAGAGTACGACAACCACGGCCCCAGAACGAAACGAGTCGAGAGGAACAGATGATCCAACCAGCTGAAGATCACCTTTCCCCAAATGTGCTACAAACGCCGGCCGAGAATACTTTTAACATTGCTTTGCATTCCTCTTCAAGGGACCAACCTAGCGGCCACCAGAACGGTTCCTACAGGCCAAACGATCCCGGGGCCAGTCAAGTCCCAGCGGCAGCACCGCAACTTTCCTCGACACCAGGTGGCTATGGTAACACAACGAGTCTAGGAACTCAATATCAACTTCATGACTTGCATAATTTCGGTGGCACATATACTCCTGGTCTAGATGCATGGAATTACCAGAACCAGGCTAGACCTGGCCCTATTGTCCCTGAGCCAGTGACTCAATTTCATTCCCCTGATTCCTATCATTCACAAGGTGTCCATTCTTCAACGTCTTCATTTCTTTTCCCGACATCTTCATGTCATGTGCAAAGCTCTACAGCTGTACCTAATCAATATGGCAATATTCTCATGCTACCTTCGGACGGAGATATGATCCAGGTGTTTATCAAGATCCCTGGGCGTTTCCTAGAGGCAAAGCTCAGACTTAGTTCTGACTACAGTACTATACAGCAAGGTGCCGTCAAGTCCCTTGGTTTGAAACCTTACAGGGTGCCAAGTCAAAAACAAAAGTTTATTACTACATCAACGGGTGCCCAGACGCCCAAATACTTCGTTCCTATTCTCTTAGACACTGTTGGATATCCTATCACCGACTTGGAGTTAGGAGTTCAGTTGACAGTGGATGACAGCACAGAGCCTCCTGTTACACTCGGAAAAGGGTTTATCTTCAAGGCGATGGAGAAGATGGTCTCTCCCAGGAACGACATCGTTTCTGTACAACATAATCCATTCGTACAAGGCCACCCAAGTCAGATGCAGCATGTTATGACACCTGCACCTGTCTGGCTGCCGGGCTTCACCCCCTTTACGCAATACAGATCTTTCCAAACTGGCCCTACCAACCTAATCATACCTACTTGGTCGCGACCAGGCGTAGTCAACACAGAAAGCACAAGCTTTGACTCACTGTCTCCAAGCTTACAGCCATCAGGGCAATCAGGCGATGTCGAAACCATATCTTCGGCTACGAGCCCCATGGAGGACGTGATGCCTCTGGATCCACCTTTCCAATGGGATGATTTTCGCAATGTCAATTTGGATCCGCCGTCGCAGGAATATCCAGACAACTAGGACACGACAGACGCAGAAGCCACACCAGGTCCTTCCGGGGTTTCGGGGACCGTCAATCAGTGGGCGAACCGATCTGAACGAATTCATTTTTCGGGCGATTATATTGGAGTATTGGGAATGATCATGTGTGGAGCTACCGAGCACTCTGAGGATGGAAGTGCTTCCATTCATTTACGAAGCTTTCCTTTACTGTTTTGTTTTAGTACTTATGGCTTTGTATCTGTCTTATGCCGAAATGCCTTCTCAATTGAGGGACAAGCAACGGGCCATGATGCCGATGTAGGATTTGGAATGAGAAATCAGGGTTGGGGACTCAGGATCGGGGCTAGAAATTCTTGCTCTCAAGGGCATTATGAAAATGTGGAGTTGCGGCGACTGTTCATGAAGATGCCTGGACGGGCATTCATGGGAGGCTGGGCTGATTCCTCAACAAATTCACGGAACACAGGACAGATGGTTACGATATGACCATGACTTGACTACAGAATTGTTTTCTGATATTTGTGCTTCTTTGCGCGGTTAGATGGGTGGAATTGTCTCGATTTCGGCTTTCTTTACGCCAGACAATGAATACATGGAGTTTGGATAGTTATGATAATGGTACAGAACTTGGACTACGACGTCAATCAAGTACAGCGCCTTGGTTGAGTCAGCAAGACTTTAGTTTTCTCCTTGTGGCTTGTTTTAAGGTGACTCAAATTTATGTTTGTTCTCTCGTTAAAGATATTGAGGCATAAATTCCATAGAGTATTCAATTATTCAACATATAAGGACGATTGTCGCATCAGGAGTCAGGCAATAACATGTTCACAAACAGGTGACCACGTCCCAGAGAGTCAGTTTCTATAATACGCCAGCCTCATGCATGATCCGTCGCCATTCCTATATATCACGAACAACGCCACGGCCGTTAATCGGTGGTGGCGGCATTTCCAAAGCATCTGTTCGCCACCACGGCGACTCCTCAACTGTTATTTGACGGAAGTCATCGGCCACCTGATACTTGATGTCGAGACGATGGCGCTTGCGTCGTGCCAGGTCGATTTCGAGTAGCGGCTCCTCTCGCAAGCCCCAGCCTTTCCCGCGCATAGTTGGGATGCGAATGTTCCTATCGTTCTGCGGCGAGGCCAGCCCGTCCCCGATTTCCATGAGTGACGCACTGAGGTCGACTGTCTTATACGAAACATTCTTGCTGGGGAAACCCTCGTGGCTGTTAAAGCCCAAGTTTGGATCAGTGCCATCCATGTGGAGATTTGCCTCGACTACACCGCCCGAGATGCCAATATAAAAGTTTGGGGATATGTCTGAAGCCTTGGCAAGGGACCACACTCCAGCGTGCTTCTCTTCGGGAGGCAGGGATTTTGAGAAAAAGAAGCTGCAATTCGGGCGGTAGAAGATGTCTCGCGAGAGCTCATGCCATCGACAGCGGTGTCCCTGCAAATGATCACAGCACGCCAATGTCGGTTGTTTCTCCTTCGGCGCTGTGGCGAAGGGCTGATGAGGGAGAGGGAACGGCTTATCACCACCGCAGGGCATGGCTGAGGTATGATAGTAGTCCTTTGTCCACCTGAAGTCGAACACTTTGACGGTTGCACCGTGAATGCCTCCCCCGATGAATCGCTCGGTGCCGTAGGTTAACAGTGTCTCGAACTCTGACCAGGGGTCGATGTTGTCACAATAGACGAGATCGAACGGTGACGGACTCCGTAGGTCCTGCAGTCTCACTGTGCCATCCCTCCACGCGCTGAGCAGCAGGTTGTGACCGCCGTGACTACCCGTCACGGGCACCAAGGAGTTGGCACAGAGCCTGCCATAGTCGATTGCAAACTTCTCCTCCATAGCCGAATTTTTGGCGGCAGCAGAGACCGCGAATCCAGAGGGTGTGATTGTTAAATATCGAAGAGGATCTTTGCAGCCTTGCAGACCGAGAGCCATAAGATTGTCAGTCATCCATCTCGCATTCAACAGAGTCATGTTCTTATGCTCAAAGGCCTGTCCTTCAAGATCAAATACAGCTGACGGTCCAATATTACTCGCATCACCGTCTTTTAACGGATAGACAAAGACGGTGCTTTTGGTCGTCGCAGCGATGAGGTTGCGGCGGCTGAGCACATGTAGAGAGTTAACAGTCCCCTGCTTGGGGAGCCTCCCTGAATTCGGGCTGATCTCATCTGCCATATGTGTAGGGCTGAAGTCGGCCAAGTGACGTCCGAACGTGTCTTCTGCCGCAGATAAAAGAGATAGATGACCATTGTCTCGTCCAGCGAGAATTCCCAAGTCACCTAGTTTTCCCCCGACGTCCTGCACAATCGACAGAGCCTTGATGTCGTCATAACCCGGCACATAACCGACATCTTTCCCATCAGAGCGGTACCACTTCGATTCACTCGTCGACTCTCGGCCGTGTCGCGTACGCCTCCTGGCAACGATATTCTCCCCTGCGCCCCACACGACCAGCTCCGTGCGGGAGTCCAAGTCCAAGTGGGCGTCCAGGACCGGATGAAAAGGTATCGTACGTCTCTGAAATCCCCGTGTCGAGGGCGATCGTGAGACCATGGCCCTAAAATCCAGCGATCTCTTGTCCCAGCATCGAGACTGCCACGTGAGCGACCCGGCGAGCCCGCGCCAGTCGTGGTTGGTGGACGACGGCAACGACAACGAGGGAAAATGGTCCTTGACGAAGATCCTCCATCCGTCTTCTCCCTCAACTAAGAGGTGAAGACGCCTGCATGAGCGTGCTAGGCTAGCTATGTCCCGTGCGGACTCGAGATAGCCCAGGCAGAGCAGCAGGACGTCATCGGGCAAGCGGTCGAGGCCCATCATGACGATTTGGATTTGATGTGTGTATGTTTTAGGTTGTATTTTGCATTCTGGTGATTACGAATAAGAATTTAGACGGGTATCAAGACATACTTATATGCAGGATGGTTTCAACAGTGTAGGAGAGAAGAAATATGTGAAACTGCCAAAGGAGGTTGTTCAGTAGTGCAGCTTTCCTTAGCTGTGCTCTTTAATTTTCTGAGAAGTGGTGGCGATGGGCAATGCGCTGCTATTGGACAATGGATGTTGACTCAGCGTCAATTCCAATGAAATCATCGCTCACAAGTGCTAGTACCGCCGAGTATCGATAATGAAAGAAACCATACACTTCGAACAGTCATTACCCCATATTTCGGATTCTCTAGCGAAATCTCAGCATCTCTTATTCAGTCGCACGATCCAACAAGATTGGCTTGGGATTCCTATCTGAAGAGTCATTACTGTGCTTATGCCATACTACGGGCGCTAAAGCTACAGCTAAACCACTAAATGTTAGGTAGTGAGTCAACCATGGGAGTCACTGTACACTTGATTGAGGCACAGCCTTCGACTCCAATCACTTACAGTCGAGCAGTTTCAAGGGCAGCCATCACAATAGTACTCTGAAGTCTCAATAGTAGGTGGAGAAGAGCCATATGCCTTTCCAATCTTATTTATTTTTTTTCTCATTAATTTTGAGGCCTTTTCTTGTCTCATTTCTACGTATCGCTGATGTTGCCCCTGCATGGAAATAGTAGCCCACCACAACTTGAGAGTGGAAAACCGTGAATCATAAAATCATGCCTGCAAAAGTCCGCCTAAACAACACAGTCCACAATGTCCCAACCGAAAACAAGGGTTCGAATGAAGCTGTTTTTTGTGATTGATAAGCCATAAGTCTCCTTTCTCATAATCATGTTCCACCACGGCAGGTCTCATCTGTTCTGGGAATTGAGGAAGTAGTCTCTTGATGTTGGAGTGGTCGTCTCAGGAATACCTCAATATCCCAAGCATGTGAGTCGAATGGTGGGTGGTCATCCCTCAAGGGGGTTCTGGGTGAGCCCTTTGTAAGAGACAGTTCTTCATCTTTACCACCGTCGAATGACAACTAGTCTATCTTTGCATTTGCCAGACTTCGCGCAGCCGGACTGCTCAAGTTGTTCACCTGCTGAACTAATGGACGCTTGTACTTGCTCTGTTTTCGTAGTCGTTTCCTCGCTACCATGACGGGGACCGAGCTCTTGGTAACTAGGTAGTTTGAGAACGAGCCCAGAATGACACTATAGGCAGAGTCAGTTATCAATCCAGTCATCGAGTTCAGAGACACAGTTTACGTACCCCTTCAATGCGCTTCGTCCACGACTGCCAAGTATCACTAAAGTTGGGCTGACAATATCAATGACCTCGGTGATAAGATGCTTCGGGTTTTTGCAGTGGAGGACTTCCACAATCACGCGAACTTGGAGCCTCGTCTTGCGTAGTAACTTGGTTACCCTCTCTGTGATATCTTGAACTGCATGATGTCGCTCTTCCTCTGCCTTATTGCGTTCACGACTAGCAGGTGAAACACTTGCATGGTCAACGGCATGCATTAGCGGTGAAGCCCGATGTTGCAAGGGCATGATGTTGCCACCGGGGCTGACAGGGGCCCTACTGGCCGTCATGGCATTGATAGCATTCGCCTGCTCTTTCATCGCCCTAGGATCATCAGGGACAAGGGAGTTTTCGCCGGTGACGATTCCAGTTTCCTCGTCAACGCAGTAGATAGCGATGAGAGTATCACCATCGCGTAGGACAGTGCCGATAGCCCATTCTAATGCATGAGTGGATTCGTCACTCAAGTCTGTTGCAACGAGGTACTTTCGTAGGCGGCGATGTTCCTCTTCGGCATCCTGTACGATCTTTGAATACTCTCCACGGTAGACGATGCGAAGAGCGCGATGTGCTTCCGGTGTTGACATGATGGGTGTCATGGAGAAAGAGAGCTTCTGCGCGCGCTTAATGTCAGTGAGATCAGCTTCGGTGTCTGAATCTATTGGCGTCCGGTAGCCGGAAGGCGGAGGCTCGTCAAAACTGGTAGCTGGATGTACCCCAGTCTTGCTGGACTTCTGCATCTTCTCTCCTGACGGCCCTGTAATGGTGATTTCGGGCTCGTCGAAAAGCGAGCGATAATGATACGCAGGTTGCTGGGATGCGACTTGCATACCTGTATTGAGATGTCAGTATTGTGTCAATTTGTGATGCTGGGGACTACACTTACGCTCTTCCTCAGCGGCTGCCAACAGGCTCAACGTCTTGCGAGCATTCTTGTCCAAGACTTCTCCTGTTGGCGACTTGCCGGAGGCAGTACCTTCAAAGCTTCTTGCTGGCTTGCGACCGCGTTCTTCGTCTTCGGAAGATGACCCTTCATGTTCATCGCTACTTTCCTCGAGGAGATCGCCGTCAGGACTGAGATAGTCTTTGACCATTCGACCACTAGATACCTCATCCGATCGTTTCCTCCTGCCAAGCTCCGCAAGACTGCCCTGAGATCTGGCCAAATTGGCATCAGATAGTCGTCTGTAGGCGTTACTGAGATCTAGCGATTCGTCCAGCAGTGCTCTACCTGCTGGGCTTAGCTGCCTTCCCAGAAGCGCATTCGCGGCATTTGCGGGAGAATTGGACCGCACGCCCCGAAGAGCCGGAGACCTAGACTTGTTGCTTCCGCGCGTGGAAGGGCCTGCAACCGAGTGATGACGACCCCTGTCGCCCGGGAGAACGAGGTCGTTACCTCTCATGACCTGAGCCATGGCGCCTGAGTTTCGCTTGCCGCCTTGTGACACCCGCTTTGGGAGCGCATGGCCAGTATTGGCGGTGATAATGTCAGAGAACTGATATTCAGCGGTGGGATCCAACTTGTTCAATGAGCTCCTTGGCCCAAAGTCGACTGGCTTGCTCGATGCGTCGGAGAGACTCCTGGGATGATGAGAGCTGTTGGCGATATGTGCTCGATGATTGGTCTCGATAGGCGAGGTAGGATTGCTGAAGACTTGCTTCATCGCGGGCGGGGGCGGGCTGCCGCCTATATCAAGCATGCTGCGGACAGGCCCGTTATCAACATCCAACATGCTCCGAACAGGCAAGTTCCTGGATGGGCTCTTCTTGTTGTGCTCTGGCGACGACGATAGCCGTGAAGGCGGGGGAGAGTCCTCTCCGACGTCCAACATGCTTCGCATGGGGGATCGAGGGCTTGCGTATGGCGAGGGGGAGCGGGCTCCGAGTGAGCTGGGTGCTCGTGGCTTAGTCCCCTCCAGCAAAGCCAATACTTCCCTCCGCTCCTCGTCCAGCATGGCCTCCATCGACATCGGCTGTCGAGACATCTTGACTTCGGTTTCCTGACTATTCTGCTACGATCGAGAGGTGCGCAAAGTAATGGAAGTGTGGATACTTGTAGGCCGCACCGGCGGGCTGGCCTTGACGGGAGCGTCTAGATGATACTGCGGCTGAGAATGCGTGCGTGGATTGAATCCTATCGAGGGATGATGATGGGACGACGATGAATTCGGGCTTGGATAACGAGCATGGTGTTTTGGGAAAGAAGCAGTATCGTAAAAGGCTCTCAGAACATGGCTGAGCCTGTCCTGTCCTGTCCTGTCCTGTCCTCGTTCGGCTCTGGATCTTGTCGTCGGTATGGAGTGAAGAAGAGGTAATGCCTGAGGTAATCGGCAAAGGAGGCGCGGCTTCGTTTGCCAAGTCGACGAGCTAACCCACAAGCTTGGCGCGGCGAGGATCGACCAAAATGAGGGGAGCTGTCCTATCGGGCAGCTGGCAATGTGCTCCGTGAGGGCGGTTGAGGCCTCCTAGCCGTCGGAAACCGGGTATCTGGTGATATCAAAGCTTGTCTAGATACTTTAAAGGCCGGATTGCTGGTCTGAGAAGTTTCGTTGGATCTTCAAAGGCCGTAGAGGTATATCGTGGTGAAGTGCTATCAATGAGTAAGGGTAAGGAAGCCGCCGGGCAGAGAAATGATGCCAGCTGCCCTGCCGCTCCCCGCCCCGCCGTAAGGTAGCTCCGAAAATCGCTAGCCCATGCCTCGCCTCACTAAGTACCTTGCCTTAGACAAGAGGTGCTCGAGTTACTGACACCACCATCTTAGCTGCCTTAGTTCTTAACAGACTCAAAGCTAAGGTCGTTCTAGATGGCTTGTACCGACTCGACAACTCCCGTGAAACTGAACAATCGACTGATGTGTGATCCACTTTCCGCTTTCCGCGATCCCATGAGCTCTCCGCCGTCGTAGAGCAACGCCGAATCAGGAGATCGATATATCATGGTTACACACACTCAATATTCAGGTATAGAGAATAGGCAGGTATCATTCAAGGTTGCCAAAGACAACGGCCCCAAATCAACAACTACAATGTGAATATTGGAACTGCAACCTCGTCTTTGCGCTAGCTTTTAAGATATCCCGGCCAATAAATTGTTGGACTTCTCATTCCACACACGTTGGCATCTCTTACCGGCCCTACTTAGGCTCCAGAGTCTCTCTTCAAGCCTAGAGGACAATTAGTGGGTAGAAATGATATATTTTATCTTCTAGATAGAACCTCGCCTTTCCTCTTTATTGGGCAGGCCTAATATTACATTTGATGTGTACAACCCTATCGTATCGCCGACTCTGTATGTACCATTGCCTTGGCAATTCGAAGAAAATCGCTTCAGGTGCATCCCAGAGTCCATGGCTTGTAGTCTTCAGGCACCGATATATCCGTAGATGCCTAAGAAATCGCCCCCATCCCACATCGCCCATGACGAGACCTCTACCTCTTCTTCATCAAAGCACGAGAGTTGATGTTCGCTCGTGAAGCCGTTCCAAGCTTGTGCAGTTGCTGCCTCTTGTCCCAGACTGTCGAGCGGCCCTCAATGACGGCGACAAGCTCCTCGCCAATACGGTGTGCCAGCATCGTTCGCCCACTGCCCTTGGACGGCTTTTTGTTCACTGTCTCCATGATCCACATCCATGCCATCCTCCTCCTCTGTCGTACTCCCAGGGGCACAGGAACTGACAACGCCATGCCACCTCCTGCCAGACCTGAGAAGTTCCGTATCCGAATCAATGGGGCAACGGAATCAATCGCGAGAGTAAGGTACGTGACCGGGTTGAGAGGAAGATGAGATGGAGGTGGTGCGCCGGGAACAAGGGGTCGTGCCGGATTGACTCTCGGCGGCGAGGAGGTTCGTAGGTAGTTTAGTATCAGGGCCATATCCTGTTGAGAAATCGTGGGTTAGTAAAAGAGGGCGCTCGAGGATTTGCAAGCTGGATGAAAGACTAACTCTTTGCGCCTTGCTCAGCTTGCCATCGCGCATGAGCAGCTTTGTGATCTGGGCCACCACTGGCTCGTATCGGTGCTTCATGTGCATCCGTGAAGGAACTGGCAGAGCCGGCAGACCGAACTTGTGTCCTGGCGAATCCTCGTCGAACGGGTCGAGCCCATTCGCTACGAGCTCCAGCTGACCCAATGCCTCCGCATTGTTGAACGAAGTGGACACGAAGTTGGCCTCCTCATGAATCTGAGCCTCATTGGAGATGCTCCCTGGCTGTGAAGACGGTATAGATGTCGCATCTTGACCATTTGTGCTGGGTGGTGGCGATGGTGGTTTCGCTTCATCCGCAAATGTCCTCACGATGCCAGCGACTCGGGGCGGGATCCATTGGGCAGCCGGTCTGCTTCGTATGCTCAGAGCCCGGAAAGATGCTGCCAGGTTTAGCCTCGGAGGCATTTTGAAGTATCGTACGGGCTGAGCGGCGATTGTGGTCACTGAAAGCCACCCATCAAAAAGGCGATCTGGAGCTATTGTCACGGTTCTCCTGGACGGCCGCGAAAACTTTCGAGCGCTGGGGCCGGAGGTTGCCGCGGGCTAGTGCCCGGCTTACCTAATTCACACCCTCACCTCACAGACCTCATGGGTTAGATGGGGCTTCTCAGCTTTGAGGTCCAGCCTGCTAGCTCCCCACAGTGGACTTTATTCTTATGGCGGTCGATCCCTTGCACCTAGTGGAGACTAGGAGTGTCTTTTCTGATAGCGGCCCCCCCGCGATCCCCAGGGTCCAGCGTTCTTTCGTGATTTGAGTTATCGATCGAGTTGTTCTGTACGAAATCGAATTTTCAAAGATGTCAATTCGCATTTGTTCATTTACCCTATCGGCTAAGATAAGCCAGCATTTGAGTCTTGTGACGATCTAGAGTCTAGAACCTAGAACCTGGACTGAAGTGTCCGGTGCGGGTTACACAAACTACCTACTCTAAACTACTTGCCTTAGACAGATCTCCTGATAGTAAATGAGGTTGGACTGGATGAACCTTCAATGTGCCGGACTGGCCTCCACGTGCTGACCACCACTCCCATCCACCCACACCCGACCCCCGACCCCCCCGACTCGCTTCAGTCCCCCGGATTCGAGCCCGGCGATAAAGCACCTCTGGCTTCCTTCCCTTAGATATGCCGTCCCTCCATACCGTATCAAAAGTACCAATTTCTATCTGCGTCATTATTGCACCCTGGTGAGACTCCCCCATCCCACTGTTTCAAGGCCACCTACCCAGTTTAGTCTCGGATGAATCCAGGGCAATTCAATTCACTCAGCAAGTGTCAGTATCTCTGTCCCTTCCTCTGTTCAGCTGGCGTCCGAGCCCGACGTATGATGGCCCATACATGGCTAGTTTGGTCTAGCTGTGAGGGGACAATCCACCCCCGTGCTTGGGCTTTGCAGCTCTAGGTTAGCCGCTCTTATCCTGCAAGAGCCGCTTTCCCTGGGTTGCATCCCGGGCTTTTCTCTGTCATGTACTCTAGTCAGAAGAGGCGCTGGCGGCCGGGCGAGCAGACCGAGCAGGGTCACAGGATCAACAACGAGAGGCGGGAGGCTTGCCAGGCTTGGAGCTTGCAGCAGGGCGAGACACCAGCTGCTGGTCCCGGTGACGATAGTCTCTTCGTCTTAGAACCCCAAGAGGTGGGGGTTTTGACGGGGGGGCCATTGCAATTCGCCAGCAGCAACTCCAATGAGTTAGACCGCTTCATAAAGGATGGCGGCATCTATCATCCGCGTAAGGCGGTCGGTGGGTGGTCAGTCAGGCATGCATGCTTCATCAAAGTCCTGTGCTGTACTGTATGCTATGTCCAGGCTATATTGTAGTGCATGTTATACCTGGTTCATCATCATCATCATCATCATCAATATCGATGTCAATATCATTTCGTTCATTCGTGTCTCGTAGTACCTCTGAGTCTCTCGACCCACCCGCCTGAGCCCCTTTGTCGTAAGGGGACGAGAAGGCCACTACGTATGAAATTTGTCCTGCCCACAAAAAGAAACCATTTGCCCAGAAGTTCCCAAAAGAGATGGAAGATACACTGCGCTTCTAATAAGCTAAGGTACAGCTGAGTGATGCTAGCTCCTGATCGACGCCTTGACCGGGTCGATGGGGAACCAAGCTAATCCCAATCCTTTCCATCCGTACTGACTTTTTGGTCTGTGTTTTTTTTTTACCCCCCCGCCCAAGTTGACTTCCAGTTTACAACGCCGCCAAAAACACACATGTGAACAAAATTTTTTTTTTTTTCTTCTGGTTTTCGATTGCGAAAGCCAATTACTAACTTGAGGACCCTCCAGGCCGACACTGGTCCCTGGCTCAGGTCTTAGGTCTTGGTCATAGCCTGTCGTCATGGCGAGATCCGGCCGGTTCCGAAGAAAATGATTGCTGCAAGTGCCTTCCTGCGATTTTGACGCCTCCCATTCGTTTTGGCTTGTCTCGCCTTTCCCGCCTCTGCCAGGTTCCCAAGCAAGGCCCTTTCTCTCACCGCCCCCCTTTGGTGCCCTTGAGAGATGTATGTTCTGTCCCGCTGCTCGGGCCGGCCGTTATTGTCTCGACAAATCCAAAACGTCGATAAGCAATGCCGCCTGTTCCAGATGTCTGTCTCATTCGCCCTGGGTGGGCGATAAGCCGTCGTTGATCGACGCTGCAGTCATTGCGCCATAAGAGGGAGAGAAAAAAAAAGAGTACCCTCCAGGTTGCTATTCTCGTCAAAAGCCTCGTGACCGGTCTTGCTTATGATTCAAAAGAAGAATAAGAAAAGAAAGGAGCAATAATAACCAAGGCCATGGAAACACACTGGAAGAAAAGAACAAATTATGGAACTGGGAAAAAGAAACGCAGAAAAAGGCATGACGCCGGATCCATGGTTGGTGTGCCTGCCGCGTGGCTATGACCAGTTTCCTTTTGCCAAACTCCAGAAAGAAACAAGGTATCGTATCGTACAACATGCGAGGGAAAGGGCGTGAAGTCATATCAGAACCGAGATTTCGTCGTTCATGTTGGCTGGCGGGAGACATCGATATGAGCCCGTGCGTGTGCCCGCGTGGATGAGGCGGGAGGCACGGGACCGCAGACAGACGCTCGCTGGCTCGGCGGCAAGTTGCCAAGCTGGGGTGTTGCGGACACGGAAGGATCACCAACCGCTCCGGCTTGTCGAAGGCGAGCTGGGATTGGAGTTGACGTTCAGCCAGTTGACTGCAACCTCGGCGGCATCCTCCTTCGCGTTGTTGAGGTTCTTGCCGTCGTACCAATATCGCGCGGAAAGACTTTGGCCGCCAACCGTAACCCTGCTCGACCAAGCTGTGCGACCACCTATGAGTTTGATGAGCTTTGATCTCATCAATTGGCATGGCACCGTCAATGCTAGGCTTACCTCTCCTGTCAGATACAATCTGGAATACTGGTGGGTTCATCTGGCACTCTCGGCAGGCTTCTATCCAGAGAGGTTAGTTACGAATTGCTTTAGCCACAGTTGAAAGTGAAAGTAGAGAACTGGGTAAAGTGTACCCTCAAGCTTGTTCTGCCAGACGGTGCTGTGGCCTCTGCCATATGATGACGACATGGTTATGGGAGATGTATGTGGTAGGGAGGCGTAACCCGGGCTGGTACGTAATCGAGAAAAGGCGAACGCCCAGTGTAGTATTATTAGATATTGCGTGGATCGAAGCAGGAACGGAGGGTACGCTGCAGGTACAGAAGTGTTGTGTAGTAGGGTGGGAGAGACAGAATGTGCTGCGAGGCGCGGAGAAGCAAGCAGTCGACGGCAGTCTTATACTCGGACAGGTAGAGGGAGCTGAGGAAGAGAAAGATGAAGCACACACGCAACGTCCGGTACCATTGGATTGGTAGAACGGTGATGTGGCAGGAAGAGATTAGATGAGGCCGACGGGTATGCTTTTCTTTAGAACTGCACCCCCTGTCTGTCTTGTGTTGTCTGCGCGAAGATGCAGGACAGCGGCTGACAGCACAGAGTAATAATTGGAGTTACGGGCGAGTGCAGCCATCGTCGGCGGATGAGACACAGTATTTCAAACAAGCCAGCAAGAAGACAGACAGACAGACAACGGCAACTGAGTTACCTTTGGGCCGACATTTCGTTTTCACTTTTTTTCTTTTTTCTTTCTCTCTGCTCCTCGTCGCACCCCCTGTACGCCATCAGCATCGTGTGCACCACTCCCCTCCCATGTATGGTAAGTACGTGGAGCGCGCGTGAGGGATGAAATGGTGCCACCGCACCACGCACCAGTATTTAGCAGCGATGGGGGAAAACAAAGCGACCACCTGCGGCACACAGAGCTAGCATGGCGATACCAAGCCTTTCGTGGTAGTACATGACGGTACAGTACAGGGCGTACAGTAGTGTGTGTGTAGTGCCGGAACTACGTGCTTGCCCGGGTGAGGGTAGTTGACAGACAGTGTAGGCAGGTGGATTAACATAGGTAGTATGGCTGGTGTTCAGTTGTGTGTGTGTGCATGTAACTCAGTAGCCTCCACCAGGAAAAAGCAATGTGGCGTTAGAAGGTCACTGTTCGAAGCACTCAGTGCCAGGGGTCTCTTTTCCGTTTGATAGAAATTGATAACATGAGACAAGGGGGACTGGACATGGCCCGGTTGATCCCATGATCCAAAGTTGGCATTCAGACACTGACCGACCCGACCGACCTGACCCGCGGCCCGCTTGGAGTTCAGTTCAGTCCAGTCTGTCCTTACCACTGACCAGGTATTCTTGGTTCGGCTGTTGTGAGGTCAGCATAAGCTGGGCAGGAATCAAAGTCGTCATGTAAGGTCCGGATCTCTGTACTACCCTCAGGAAGATACCCAAAGACACGCCCAAGCCATCGTCGATGGCATGGCCTGATAGGGGACCAAGACAGATCCCCGATGCGGTCATCTAAAAGTCTCAATGGCGTGGGCACTGAGCATATTCTACTTACTCCATTCTAATACATGCATGCATGAGTGAGAGTCTCCCTCGCTGATCGGGCAGCCAGCAGAGTTAGCAGCAATGAGTGCCCACAGTGACCCATTGAGGCTGTGTCCCCATCTTGCAAACGGGTCCTGCTAATCCTGCCCCAGAAGACACTATTTTATCCTCCGCGTGTCACTGTGCCTGCTATCTTTATCCCTCGTAGCGTCTCTCTTTGCATCTCCTTCATACTTTTAATTCGTGAGACAGATCGACCTCATTCCCGAGACTCTTGCGCAAATGCAATGATTGTTTGCTTTTTGAGACGTGATTGCTGCAGATTCACAGTCGTCTGCCTGCATCTACGGCCTATTGGAACCACAGTAGCCGTCGAAACGTCCCAGAGACTCGGGAGCGAGACAAACTGAAAACGCAGACAAACGGAACGAAGGCTTGCTGAAACCCGCGTTTGATTTGTCGTTAATTGTCCTGTAAGGCACAGCTAACCGATTATCACCCACTACAACCGCCTGTCCCGCACGATTGGGTGCTCTGGGAGGGGAGATTGGCACCTGATAATGCCAGCGTGCATGCAGAGTTTCATGCTTCAGGTACTCGGTCAAGGCCCATTGATGAAGTCTTTGATTGCGCTGCAGACCGGTAGCCCCGCCAAAGGGCTGCCGAGAACTTGGACTCTTCTCATGCGACAGCCCTAGACCTGCCCTGCAGAGTGACCTAATCCCGTGAAGCCGTGGGTGCGCTTTTTTGTTGACGTGGGTTTGGGTATGGATGGCCAGGACAGCATGCCGTAAGTTGGTGGATTAGCCTGACTTCTGCAAGCTAAGACTGCGCTACTGGAGTGTCCGAAGGGTGTACTGATTGTGGTATTCGATTACGAAACTTATACAAAGATACGGCCGTGCCAACGGCTGCTGTATCAGGTACGTCCCATGTCGTTAGTACAGATACGGCGCTGCACACCAAAAAAGAAGCAAGTATGCAAGTGGAAGCTGAGATAGATTGATTTTCTGCGATATTTCTCAGGCCGTCTCGAGCCAGCTGCAATAAAATACGATAGAAGCAGCAATCTCCTCCAACAGGGAGAATCCCGCTGGAAGCTAGTTCTGACACAGCTGGGATTGCCATCCCGCACCAGAACTAGCATATGCCTTGCTTGATTTGCTTCTGCATTCCTTCTAGCGTATCTCCGGATAGCTGATAGCAGCGGTGAAGAGATCATTTGTCTTCGTTGGCTAAAGATTGACTAAAGCCAACCCTTCGCCGTCATTCCGGGTTAAGATCCTCGATGGCTTCCTTGGAATTGATGGAGAGCATACGTGCCGAACCAACGAGAACCTCGCATACCCTTGCGATGGCGTTGCATCTATCCATGAACGGCACTCAGTGCCGTATATGTTTGATGGTCTCTCAGCCCTGCTGACAAACAGAACCTGTCACAAAGACTTCCTTGTGCCATTCCAAGCTTTTCCCGAGTGCCACACCGGAGCGATAAGTCATTATGGCTGATCTGTGATGCAGCATGAATCGCATGACACGCGGCTCTCTCCCAATGTCTCGCCTTTAGCAGTTCGGCCAATAGCACTAGCATACGAAGAGAAATGGACTGCCAGAATAGAAGAAGCAAGACGACTTAACCAGGAAAACCCCATGAGGCGCAGACGTGCACGAACCAACTGTTCGGTCACGGCATCTCTATCACAGGGTCACGCGGGAAGACGAGGGATGACCGGAGCCCAATCAACAACGAAGCATCCCTGCTGCTAGGATCCTTTGATGAAGCCACCAGTCATGCTGCAAATTTGCCAGCTTTCAGAAGGGATAGTTTCCGACGGTGAAGAGTCTAGGACAAGAGAGGCGTGGGAACACAAGAAAAGAAGCAACTCTGGTGCGACCTCGTACCGTTGTTGTGGTTTCCGTGATTTAAGTTGACAGATGCGGTGACTCGTTTCAATTTTCTGGCCAAGCTGCATCCGTGCCATACTTTGTGTTATCATGTTCCGAAGCGAAAGCGAAGTCGGAGGTTAGACTCTCGAAGACGGTGAGACACAATGTGATGACGTCTCAGCTCTCAGGATCGTCCATCTCGTAGACTTGCCGAACATTTAAGCATAACTGCTCGGCTTTCTCTTACCCATCACACACATACGATCCCCCACAATGACACCAGCGAGAGTTTAGTCAACACTCGCTTGCCAAGAAGGATGCTGTTGTCGTCTCGTCACTGACTCGACAATGGCGGCGCCACTAAGCTCAGGCTTAGCCGCAGAGAGCCAGCTGCAGTTCGAACGGGTCACCCGGTGCAGAGGCGGGAGGTCCCATCAGCAAATGGTCAGCGATAGGCCGGTGTGGTGTTAAGTCGCGGGGTCCTTTCGACTTGTTTCTCGGCCCGCTGCAGGCCGACCGGGATCACTCTATATCAGGCAGACATGATGAGTATCCTTTCTTTTGATCAAGAACTTGTTGAACATGCCACGACCGGGTACGGTACGCGAGAAAGGCTGCCCGACGGGAAGGAGATAAAAAGCAAATCCTTCAAGCGCACTGCCTGCAGAGAGGCCCAGCGCGGGATGTTTCTTGATGAGTTGTCATACGAGAGGCAGCGAACGACGTCTGTCTGAGATGCCAGGCATAGGCAGTTGATTTCTTTTCCTCAGGCGTCCTCGGGAATGCCTCCTGCGACGTCTGTTTGTTGGATGTCCCGGGGTCCACTGGGTTGAGTCGAGGCGACCAACGTGGCACAGCATAAGCAGGTCGAAGAGCCCCTCATCCTCGCACCTCAAATGCCAATTGGCGCCACCGGCTCCGACCGAGTGTTCCGCCTACCCTCATCCCGCCCCAATATCGGCATCATCTGTGCTGTCTCCTGCAGGCGTGCAGCGAGATCTCCAGGCACTTGCTGATTGGAAGCAGCGACGCGAGAATGCCCAAATAGCCCAACCATGCCTTAGCTCAGACCTGACGCGGCTCCTTCGTCTTGAGGTCTCAGACGGGCCCGAACCTCGTAATGATGTCCCTCTTGTTGATGAGTCTCTAGGTGGTGACGCCAATCTTCGTAAAAAGCGTGTATTGAGGCTGCTCATGCAGTGAAGTCACTTCTTAGTTCTACATAATAGCAAGGCAATAAGGTACCTAGGTAGCTCTTGCCAGATCTGGTTTACCAGATTCGGTAGCTATAGATGGGAGGTAACCTTATTTACAGGATATACCTACATCCACATGGCCCTTGGATCAACTTAGATAAGACGGTACCTAGATCTGTGTTGATAACTGCACCAGAGTCAGAGTACTCAGCTAGCGTTCCAGCAATTCCTGGTCCGAGAAATTATCAGCTGCTAAGCAGCTGGCTCTGGCTGACAAAACCGGGGACACGAGTTCCAGGCTGCTGCCCCAGCCAGCCCCTGCTTCCCCACACGAAGTGGCTCCGTTACCTCGGCATCACAATGTCTCGGTTATAGCTCGATTGACTTCAAGTGATCTCTTAACACTGCCAATTGTTCTTGATGGATTTCATTCTTGTCAAACTCGCCCATTTTATGACGTTTTGATTTACAAGGACTGCCAGTCGGATCTTTTGGATTTATCTTTCTGTTTTAAAAGATCTGCATACAGATATAAACGGAGCAAGATGCCTTGGAACACAGAGCTAACGCGCAAGCTGGGCATCAGAGGTCAGTCATCAAGGGGCTGCATGCATCCAGCGCAGGCATGCCATACATGCGTCATCTAGGTTCGAGTGGCTGACAGATACGCAGTGCCCGTCGTGCAGGGTGGCATGATGGTACGTGTCGCAACGAGGGAGAGCGAGCCTTCGCCTCATCCCTTCTATCTCAGGGTCTTCGATCCTCATCGGTGCCGTCACTGATACGTCGTTTAGTGGGTGGGCTATGCAGAGATGGCCTCAGCAGTCTCCAATGCTGGCGGACTGGGCATCATCACGGGTTTAATCTTCCCCTCGCCAGATGAGCTGCGCAAAGAGATTCGCAGGTGCAGGTCCATGACCAAGGCACCGTTTGCAGTGAACCTCACACTGCTCCCGGCCATGGTACCTCCCGACTATGGAGCGTACGCCCAGGCTATCATTGATGAGGGCGTCCGTATCGTCGAGACCGCTGGTAACAGCCCAGGCCCGGTTATTGCCAAGCTCAAAAAAGCCGGATGCACTGTTCTTCACAAGTGCACCACCATCCGCCATGCACAAAGCGCTGTGAAGTTGGGTGTTGACTTCTTGAGCATTGACGGCTTCGAATGCGCAGGGTGAGTGTATTTGTTCGGTGCTGTAGATTAGCTATTATACGGCGAGGAGTGGACGCATCCATACGTCCCACCTCCGCCTGCTGGTTTCCTTCCCCTCTCCAATCGGATTTCTTGCCAGCTCGCAAACCGGACACTTCTCTAACATCTGTACCTTAGACACGTCGGCGAGACTGACATCACAAACTTCATCCTCCTTAGCCGGGCCCGCCAAACACTGAAGACTCCGTTCCTTGCATCAGGCGGCTTCGCTGACGGCAATGGCCTGGCAGCAGCACTCTGCCTAGGAGCCTGCGGTATCAACATGGGCACGCGCTTCATGTGCACAATAGAGGCACCGATACACCAGAACATCAAAGAGGCAATCGTCAATGCCCAGGAGACTGACACGGCACTTGTTCTACGCCGATGGAAAAATACGACTCGCCTCTTCAAGAACAAGGTCACGGAGGAAGCCTTGAAAGTTGAGAAGGAAAGTAAGGATGGCAAGTTTGAGGAAATCGCGCCTTTCGTAAGCGGAAAGCGCGGCCGGCAGGTCTTTTTGAATGGAGATCCGAATTTTGGCGTAAGATATCTTCCTCTACATGCTTGTACTTACACTGTAGTACTAACTTCAGATAGGTTTGGACTGCGGGTCAGGTCATTGGACTTATTCACGACATCCCCACTTGCGCTGAACTCGTCTCGAGGATCGAGAAGGAAGCACAGGCAGCATTAAATGACAGGCTCAACTTGTTCACGCCGTCGAGCAAACTATAGAATAGATAGATTTGTACAACATTAAATTTCATTCTGGGTTTAAGGTCATAACCATTTCCAATCAGTTTTGGTAATCGAGGCACTAATCATTCCAGAGCAGTAGGAACCTGATGAAGTCAAGTGTCAGGAGTGAAACAGACAACACCCAATGTAGGATGATGGGTTATCAAAAGATTAGCGCTTTCTCTGCTAGCTATGGGGAGCCGCTCCAGTATCCTTAACCTCATAACAAAAGTACCACATATTACTCCATCGATGCAAGTACATTACGGTTGTGTTATTTACGCTAACTCTGAGCCCTATCCGGGTTTCTTTCATCACATTGCTTCCTTAAATTATTTAGCAAGTGAATACATCGGGACCGGGATTTTTGTAGGAGGTCGGCACTGGATAATTGATGTTGATAAGGATGCCCGGGTCTGTAGCCGAGTACGCGCCAGGAAAGGCAACCTTGTTTGGCGGTTCTGTGCTCCCACCGCCAGATATCGTCAACTGTGCACAAGAGAGGTAGAATTGAGCGCCTCCCTTTGACTGAGCCACGTGTAGACCAATATGTTCCGCTCGCAGGAGGTAATCTCCTGATGCGATGCACTTGGGAATGGTAACTGTCATAGACGCCTTGTCTGTGAACGAGTCAGTTCAGTGTGGACCAAAATGTGAGAGCGAAGCATACTCATGCTAGGCCAAGTGAGCTGCGAGCCAAAAGTCGGCTGCTCGTGCCAAATCTTGAACCACACATTGCCGTCGCCGGTGAAAGTCTTCGCGCTCTGACCGGCGGGAACTTTGGCCAGATAGAAAGACATTGGCCCTGGATGGTATAAGTTTGGGTCGATATTATATGTGACCTGCTGGCCGGCAGTTACATTCGCGACAACGGGGGCTCCAGTGCCCGGAGATAATTCAAAGCATCGGATATCCTTAGATGTGACGTCTCCGACGAAGCCATTGTCCTGCCAGTTCTTCGCCTGTCGTACAGCCTGCCATTTTCCTGCATTTGTTCCACCCACAGTGAGAGACGGTAGGGTATCTATGCCTTGTTAGCACAGGGGACAATGGGCCTAGGCCTGTGTAAAGCTACATACAATGGGCTTCAACCACCGTTGCAGTCAAGAAAAGAGTTTGAAGAAGCCGCATTGTGAAAGTATTCAAGACAATCTATGATAACCGACTGTGTGTAATAAGCAAGCTTCAAAGAGCATTCGAGGAGATGATGTTATAACATAGCACGACTGCCAAGACATGAGGTGCTTCTGCTTGCTTTTATACCACTCACCCACTTACATGGGGAGGACTGAATTCCAGGAAAACTGAGCATGTTTTTTCCCCCAAATATCTGCAGCACGGGGCACTAGGCTGGTGATGAGGCATGGCTAGCCATTAAGGTGAGCGCCACATATTAATCAATATACTCAAAGTAGTTGCCTCCCACAGACTGATGAGACCTTGGATGTAAGTTCTGTCCAACAACGTAATCTAAATAGATGCGAGACCATCCCCACACGGTTGAATGGAAGATTTCCTGGGGTGCCATGCCGACTCTACCATTTCCGGCACTTGTCGCAATGACAGCTGAGGGTGACGAATGAGAGCCAACTACGAGCATTGACAGTTCTGTATTTCAGCGGAAGAGGCATTGAAGCGACCGGAGGAAGTGCTAGACATGAAGAGGCCCAAGGACCAATTAATCAGGAGCGCTACTCGTTGCTCGCTACAGCGAATAATCTCATTAAGAGGTTTGCTATCGTAGTCAGACTCCCGGAAGTCGTCCCGCCGCTTTCTTAGCCTACGGTTTGCACGGCATCCCCTACATGGGTAGGGCGCATGGCGAAAGCCTGAATGCACGTAAGGAATTGACAAAGCGGATAAATGGAGAATGCTACGTCTTGATAAACTCTTATGCATGGAAGCTTCTTTGTAATGCATCATCCTCTTCTGCACTCAATCATACCAGACGTCCTTCGTACGAAGGTGTTCAACAATGGCGGCGCTGTCATAAGAAGCCGCAACGATACAGGATGCAGCCCATTACCCTCCGACACAATTCATTAAAGCCATGCGACCGGCACAGCATGTACTCCTCCGCCAGGGTGATAAATGTTAGTTCAGCAAGGGTATCTTTCCTCCTCAAAATGGATTACTACCTTTATAGAAGATAACAGAACTCTAGTGATAAACACAAAATCTTCGAGATATTGACGAGTTTTATGACTCTTGAAATCGAGAATCTTTGATACTATAAGAATGAACGCTTATTACCCTGGAGGAGGAGTAGAAGAAGTACATCAAAATTAGCAGTATTGTGCAAATTGCGCTTCATCGCATCACTTTCTCAAGCGTCGGATGACATGCAAACCCACTCTGCTCTCCGATGGAACAACCAACGCCTATTGGAAGTCGTTGTGCTGGCTCGTCACTAATTTTGGGGGTTTGGTCCAAGTGCCAACCCGGGAAGCTGATTGGCGGTGATAGTAGCCGCCACAAGAAGCCCATTCACTTGTGAAGAGCGATTGACAACTCTGATTGACCGGATCCAGAGTATTATTGAACCATTCAAGTCGCTCGAGCATTGGAGGTGTTTACCTTTTTGAGCGTTGACCCCATCTTTCCATCCCAGGAACCATCTCAGGCTCGAGTGAAAGCAGTCAATTTAGCATCATCATTCGCTCGGCATCACGGCTGTCACCGCCGCTAACGTTGATTTAAGGAGCGTGAACACACGGCTGGAACCGTGATGCTCGGATGAGGCTTGATAGAAATCACCAAGATCCTTGTAGATTTGCTTTGCTGTTTTGGCTTCTGTCGAAGCAGTCATGTCCCTCAAGATGGCTCGATATATGGTTCCTCGCCATCCCAAGACTCTCTCGAACTTGTGGGAAGCCAGAGACAATTCTTTCAACGCTTGAATTCTTGAGCAAGAATGTTGCTCATCCAGTCTTTCATTTTTGTCTTCATTAACTTTCACTTTGTTTTATCTTCCCCCGTCCCTGGTGCCAGTTCGAAGACACAGTCTTCTCTACCAATCCTTGAGCTTCCTTATGGTTCATACCGGGCTGCTAGTTACAACGCAGCATCTGACATGTATGTTTGAAGAGATATGAATATGGTTTTCTCCATTGACTAGTCCACTAGCTACAAATTTCAGAATATCCGATATGCAGCACCGCCAGTAGGAAATCTCAGATGGGCCAAGCCAGCCCCTCCACAGAAGGAATCCACCATACAAGATGGTAGCTACGGACCGAAGTGTGTACAGTCAGCTATTCATGGTTTGAACCTTGTTGGGGCTGGTAATGGTTCGCCGATTGGCTCAGCAATCAATCAGTTGTGAGTAGCATCCGGGAGATGTTGAAGAGTAGCTTGATAACAGAAGTCAGTCTCGGAGGGATTCCGGTCCCGCTCTTTTCAGGCGGCGATGAAGATTGCCTTTTTCTCGACGTTTATGTACCGGGCAAGGCATTGAAGGATCCTTCCCTGAAGCTTCCAGTCGTCGTGTGGATATATGGAGGTGGCTTTGTTTTTGGATCCAAGGACTCTTTGCAGCCCGATCTCCCATTCTACGATGGATCTGGCATGATCGGACAGTCCAATAACGGCATGATTTTTGTTGCTATGAACTACAGATTAGGTGCTTACGGATTTTTGGCTGGCACTTCAATGGAGAGAGATGGGCTACCTAATGCTGGTTTGTGGGATCAAAGAGCCGCATTCCAGTGGGTGAAAAATTATATCAATCTGGTCGGCGGCGACCCAAACAAAGTTACGGCCATGGGCGAATCTGCTGGGGCTGGATCAGTCATGCATCACGTTGTGGCGCAAGGAGGAAAGCTTGACCCTCTTTTTTCTAGAGCCATTCTACAGTCTCCAGCATTCGAGTGGATGTGGGATCGTGCTGGCATGGTTGAGAATACTTTCCAAAATTTTGCGTCCCTTGCTGGTTGTCAAGGCAAAGGCCTCGATTGCCTCCGCACTGCAGATGCTAAGACCATTCAAAAAGCAAATGATGCCCTCATGGCCCAACAGACGCCTGGGTCATTCGCAGTAGGCCCGACAGCTGACGGTTCATATATTAGACAATTGCCTGTGTTGGAGTTCAGTACGGGTAACTTCTGGAACTTGGAGTCTGCGGTCATATCTCATTGTGCAAGCGAGTCACAACTCTTTGTCGACGGCTCTATAAAGACCGACGACCAATTCAACACTTTCCTCAGTGCAATATTCCCAAACTACACCCATACGGCCGGTGTCACGGATCTAATAACTACCTTCTACCCTCCGTTGTCAAGCAAGAACTCAGGGTACAAAACTCAGTCGGATCGTGTTCAAGCTTTTCTCCGGGATTCGTGCTTCACCTGCAATGTTAGACACATGAGCGAAGGTCTTGGAGACCAGCGAGTTTGGCAGATGCAATACAGCGTTTCTCCTGGTTGGCATGCCACGGATCTAGTCCCGACATTGTGAGTGAATGTTTACCAGCTACAGTCGTGCTTCGAGCTCTGGAGACACAGGAGACAACTCCGTTCAGCCTTTCCCTGCTTACAATGTCTTCATAATACTGTTACTGATTCTAATTTTTACAGCTACAACCCACAGTTCACCGCCGATAGCTTTTTAGAGGACTTGGCCACATTGATGGTACCTGTTATCGGACCACTCGTTGCTGGGATCAGTGTCGCCATGCAAAGCTACTTTACAAGCTACATTACTAGCGGAGATCCGAACAAGAACCGCAAGATAGTCAATCTACCACCCACTGTCAAGTGGAATCACCCTAACAGCAAAAGCGAAAAAACAAGTGGCGTGGTAAATGTAGGGAACTGGGGATTCAGCACTATCAACGATGACCAAAATCAAAAAACTCCGTGTGATTTCTGGAGAAATATTGCGACTGCGGTGACGAATCTCGGAGGATATGCACCTCCTGGTGCAATCATGCAGGAGGCTCTGGTCAAGGCCACGAATGACCCAAGTGCAAATTATGTTGGCGGCAATCGAACTTGAAGAGGTGGCGGCGATACGATGATCACTCTGAACGAGATCGAGATACGCAGCCCTTTATCTAAGAAGTACTAGCTCTTCTGAAGCCTCTGAGCTTCAGTGGCTCGTCTGAAGCTCTCTAGACAGTTCAAGATTTGATGATTGTACGACGAATGGGTACTTTTGATCTTTTTCTATCTCAAAGTGCTGCTGTATAACGTCGACAAGTGTGTAGAACTTCCAGGGCTGACTGAATTACCATGATACATGACTGGATATCAGATTTCCATCAACGGTGCAAGTGTGATCATTTTTATGAGGAGTAACATACTGGCGAGCTTATAGCTCCCAGCACCTCTACTTGATATTGAGTACATAGTAAAAGTCTACACAAAAGTTAGGTAAGATCCTGCACACTAGACTGGAGGTACATAGCAATACTGCTATACTTTAATGTAATCAGGTCTTGGAAGACATCGGAGACTTCGCTGGACTTGATACTTGAAGGTTTTCGTAAAACTTTGCTTGGGGGGATTGGGGGTTGCTATATCTCGAAACACAAGCTCTTCTTGCGCCGGTGGAACTGCACAAAAGCATGCAGTTGTGTTTGGTCGTCGGTATATTTATAGATATAGTTCTCGAGATTTAACGCGGCCTACAATGACTACATGTTTCATAGCAATGCTACGCTCGCTTTCCCTAGCTTTGTGGTCACGAAATTGGTTTGGCCATTGCTTGCGAAAATATCACCACAATATAACGAGGAAGCTCGACTTTTCTCTGAAAGTGTTACTCTTGCCGAGAAGAACGAGGCTTGTTGGCTACTGAG